ACTGCATTTCTATTACTGTTAAAAATACAACTTAAAAATTCCGTTGTAAGCAAACATGACGGACTTCCGAATGACGATAAAATGACAGTACAGTACACAGTGTTGTGTAATTTGTACACAAAAAAGTAGGTGAGTGCAATCTGTGTTAATTTATTTGACTTTCAGACAAGAACATAGACGTGAAACTCTCGAATGGGCATTTTAATAAGACTTTTTATTAAAACAACTTACATTAATTTATTTACGCAACAACATATAATTAATCAATACATAAAAGTACAATATGTATTTTGTTTGGTACTTCTTCTTCGCATCCTTCTTTACTGAAGGTCGTGCTCGTCTTGATATGCCTTTACTGGTTATAATAACAAAATTGATTTCTAAAAGACTAAAGGTTCGGCCCAAACTAGGTAGCTGCTTGTTTGTTGTGTAAAATATATATAATATAATTTACTTATAGTTCTATGAATTATCTTATTATATCTGGTATTACGAAACACATCGTCATTAGCGATATTACTATTTCACACATGTGACCTAACGTTTGACGTTCAAAGTAATTGTTGTTGACGTCAATGGTGTAGTTAAAAAAAAAATTAAAGTCAGGTCAAAAACATAGGTCATGAGCAGAGGTTTCACTTGTAGAACTTTGTAAACTATACAGATTAAAAAAAATCCTGTCTTTATCTTTACGGAGGGTCTGCACAATATCTACCACTCCTCCATATATCTCTATCATCCGTCATATCTGAATTCACCCTCTTCCTATGCATATCCTCTTTCGCACAATCCATATTTTCTTTGACCTTCCTCTGACTATCCACATTCAATCTCATTATTTCTTTATTAAGTATGCATACGCATTACATATGCTTTAGGACATGTAAAGTAATTTGACCATATGAAAATACCTAGTTTAAGATTGTATAATTTCTATAGATCTCCTTTAACTGGTTGGTAAGCATAAATCTTATCGTAGCAATAACACCGGCGACGTAGCAAGTCGTAATATGAACGGAAACAATCGTTCAGATATGAGAAACTGGATTTTTAATTACATCTTATCGATGCTATAAACAATTTCTAGGTTTTCTATAGTCGATGTACAAAGAATTGCGAAGTTGTACTCAAATAAAGTTACTCTTTAAATGATACACTCTATACCAGAGATATTTAATCTGTGCATATAATAATAAAACTTTCCACAAAATGTACATTTCTTGTCTATGGCTTTTGTGATTTTTACTTAACATCTAACGGGGCCGGATACGGTAATAAATCGATGGATTTTTTATTATTATCTTAAAATGAACTTTCACATGGAAAAGTATATTTTTCCGTAGATTTAATAGATTTTATATACTTGTCTTTTTATTCATACTAGTGCCGATATATTTATGAATACATACAGAAAGTTTACATTATACTACGATACTAACAGCTTTCTCCGTACCTTACTCCTACCGGTTTCAGTACAAGCTTGTTTAAAGGGCATATCGAATCTTGTATTTCAGTTTGACATTTCCGTACTATTATTAACATTTAAATATTAATTAAACTTTACATTCTCTGTATACTAGAGTAGATCATTTAAAAAATTTAATTAAGAATTTTTAGATAGTTAATCAGCAGTTGCTAAATATTTAAGTACCTTAATTAGAGCTAATTGATTTAATAGTAATTATAGTTAAATTATCAATACGTTTATAACTCTAAAAAAACCTGATCCAATTTACACGAGGTAAAGTAGAATCGTACTATATAGAAATAGTTTAATAATTATCCAAATTTATTCATGATATTATTATGTTATGTAAAAAAAAAACTCATGCTATATATACTCATAAAATATGTGTCATTGTCACGAGAGTGTCGCGTGGTCAGCGTACGATGTCGCAACACCAATAGAAAAGACCGTACGCCCGCACCACTGTTCCTCAGACGTAGCAATTAATTTTAATATTTAATGTATTGTGTTATATAACTCACGAGAATTTTATATTGCTACATCATTCCACGTGAGCTCGTATGTGCTCCACGTGTTTTGTTCTTTTACTATTCTTTAGAAATTGCCTTAAATTCATTTTAATTTAACTGTAAAAAAAGAATTAAACCATATTTTCGATGTAACAAATAGCCATCATCCACAACATAGAGTATAGAGTTAATGAGCGAGTTAATTTTTTTTTAATCGGTAATTATTAAAATATCCAGCCAGGTAATAGTAACCATCCGTATTGGGTGAAGCGGATAAGTTTACGAATCCTTTCCTTTCACTTAATGCGGTTAGTTGACCTTATTAATATATGTACTATATGTATATATTGGACATATCACACAATTATGTTCTTAGGAAAATCGAATCCAATACGCACTGTAACCGCAAGCAAGGCTAGGCGAGCGTTATAAATTTTTATAACTATTCATTTACTAGCTATCGCCCTAGAATTCGTCTGCGCGGTATTAAAAAAAAATAATAAGTAGCCTATGTGTTCTTCTAGACTATGTTCTATATGTATGCCAAATTTCATCGAGATCTGTTTAGTCGTTCCGGAGATACCTTCAAACAAACATCCATGTATCTATCTTAACATTCGCATTTATAATATTAGTAAGATTTGGTTACATTTTTTTTAACTACTAAGCGATAACTTTTAGATTCATATGCCAGCAGGATGGCATTAATAAACAGAACCGTTACATCGTGGTTTATTCATAGCATTGAAATGAACGCTGCCATTCTATATCACAGTTCGTATAGTGGCATCAAGAGATGGTCGTGATTACATTATTATAATACATCTCGTCAGCATCACTTCTTATTCAGCATCTCGCACAAACCGTTGTTTTACCGTTTCTTTTGTTTTCATTCGCATCTGTTTTGAATTTGAGGCTTTAGTCTCTATCAATCATCAATATTGCAAGTTTTTTAGTTGCAAATATATTTATAACATCACTTTTAATTATTTTCCTAAGATATGTAATACGTCAAAAATATTTGCAATTACTGTAGTAGATAACTTAGCTTTTTTTTTGTTAAAATGTTCATTAAATGTATTTTAAATATACATATTCTATTAAAAAACATACAGACGAATTAAGAACCTACTTATTTTTGAAGTCGGTTAAAACTATAATACAAATAACTAGAAAATCTTTTTTGTCATTCTGTACACAATACTTTATGTTAAAAAAGTGCCTGAAATCGAATATTTTTCTTTGCATTTCTATTATATGTAACTATGTCAATGTTAGGTACTGTTACCAAGTTTATGTCCAATTATCACGAAGGGAGTTAGTGTGATATTTAGGTACATTAGTAATATTACAGAATATTCTAGGTTTCTTTAGTTATTTATTTATTCTAAGCATATTAGTATTACTTCTCCAGAGAAATGGCCAGGTAATTTAGGTAAGTAATAAAGTGTAAATTTTTTACATTAAATTGTTTTGTTACGTCATAAGTTAAAGTTTTATGAGAGATCTGCTGAATGTTCATATTCGTGTTTTAATATCGATATTAAAAGTAAATGATATTTTCCACTTGCACTTCCTGATTCTATGACCTTGAGCCTTCCTACGTACGTGACTGTTGCTGGTATATTTCATACTACATGTAAATATTTCTGCTGATTTTGCATAGACATGTTTATAATTTTGAACGCATATTATCAGCTAATGTTGCAAATTGACAGATATACTGTCAGATGGTCAGACTTATTTATTTAAATGTATAGGCGGCAAGACCAAGGAAAGGAACAATTCTTAGACCTTACTACCTTTTCCGTTGGACTTTATATTATTGTATTTGTTTTAATTGGGAATGTAATTCTTTCAATTTAATACATCCTTAATTTAAGTGGTAGCTTTTAATTATATTTTTCAATGTAAATTTAATCACGACAAAGTGTTTTAGTGCAAGTTTACGCAAGCTTCTATAAATAGCAACTCAGTCACAACATCGCAAGTACCGGCAATTAAATGATAAGGGATGGGATCGGTCACGCGTCGACCGTCGCCTGATGTCCAGCGGACATTGTCGGCAACTAATGGCACATCACGCCACTATTGCAGATAAACCTAATCACAATAAAACCTTTGCGACACACTGATCATGTTTAAAAAACAATCGACCTAACCGACCTAATATCCTAATATTTTGTCGATATCTTTTCAACGATTCGGTTTCAAATCTACATTGTTTTGATGCAATTTTGTTTTTTATTTATACTTTTATCATACAATACGAGTACCTTACTAAGAAAGTACTTAAATTCTTTGCGAGAGTACTTGCAAAGCCATGTAAAAATATAAATTTTACATACTGTCTGGAATAATTTACACCGTATGTTCGGTAACAAATTTTACTCGTATGTTTGATCCAAAAATATACTTTTTACTTAATTACTTTAAATGATGTTATTATCAAATGAACATTGTATTATTAATTAATTTCTAATTCTTGTCTTTAAATGACGAACGTTAAATATATTTTCGTACCATGAATATAGTTTTTACCTGGTTTATTGCTAAATATTTTCCGAAATGCGCACATTCGTTAATATTCCAAATCAAATTGATTGCCCGTGTATTTTCTGTGGCTCTGTATCATTTGTTGACCATGTCATTGCTATATATATCTTTAAGGATTCACGAATCGTCAAAATATTATTGTTTACAAACGTAATGGTCTTATACTTAAGTATAATAGTCATACACTTTTACTTGAGTAAACAACAAAATGGTAGATGTATACATATACCTACTGCATTCCGCCCTTTTCGACCCCTTATCTCTTCGAGTACTCATATAAGTAATCATTTTTACTTTCTTGCTCTTGGCTGCCGGTTTGTTTTTGTCGTTTAGTAAAAGTTTAACAATTCTGAAAATTGAGGTGTTGTTCATATTATATTATTCCCTATTTCTTCTTAAGGTTACATTATTTTTTAATAATTATAGTTTATCATAATTTATAGTTACGTGTTTTTTTTGTGGTGCAGTCGTTGCGACTTGCAGCGCCGTTCAGCACGGACCCGATGGCGGTGGCGGAGCGCGAACGGTGCGCGTACGGGCGCATCCCGCGCGCTGCCGCTCTCGCTGGTACCGCGCCACGCCGCGTGCGCGTCTACTCCGACGGCATCTATGACATGTTCCACCAGGGACACGCAAGACAGCTCCAACAGGCCAAAAGCGTCTTCCCCAATGTATATCTCATAGTCGGAGGTGAGTTAATCATATTACATAAAGAAGTGTCTGCGTTTGGTAATATCTGTAGAGAAAACTCGCAGACAATGCATTTCGTATTTGGTAGAAAGTTTTAACAAAAGTACAATTATTCAATTTGGATAGGAATTTATATTAGCTGATTCTGGCTCACAAAAATTATGACTTGAGCACACTGTTTTGTAAACATTTCCTTGTGATGTAGAGATTCCATATGTAGAGCATGGCAAACGTCACAGTATTGAGCAGAAGAATTCCGTTCGAATTGGCGGGCTGGTTGCACCGCAATTTATCGTTTCGGCTGCCAAAGCTTTAACCTATTACCTAATAAATAACGATATAATTTAACTTTTTATACATCGCTAATTAAGTGCTACGAAATCTTTGAATTCGTTTAATCTTTGCTACATTAATCCAGTTTATCCATATAGTATTTCCTTATTAATTTTATCACAAAAATCTGAGTCAGATCGAATTCAATTATCAGTGACGGCAATAGAAAAGGCATTGTTGGAAATGTTTTCGTCTGACTGCATTGTGCAGATAAGACCAGTTACTATTAAGAGTACAGTTTACGAAGACGTCACTTAGTCATCCCGATAGACTCGTGAACGACGTCATTCGGAAATAACACAATGAATGATGATCTCATGCTACGGAGAGTAAGGAAATGTCATACAAACAATGACACATTCAACCCTTAGTTGTCTTTTTAAAACAACATATTACACAATCGCGTTAGATAAGGACGACAGGATTGCGCTGCGAAGGATATCGATTGTGCTCGAATGCGGCATTGCTTGCACTACAGAATTTATCTTCAGACGTCGCATATTTTAGTTAGTTCTTTTTGCTAAAAGGAATAAGTGTTAGTCATTGATTTAACCAGTAGACATACTCGGTAAAACAGGACTAAATTCAAGGCTCTACGTTGGCCTTGTGTGGCCATATACATATTAGTGACTGTCAGTATATTAAATTAATAACATGGAGATGACATTTATTAATATGAAATAAATTTTAATACACCTAAATCTTTTAAGAGTGGTAGAACCCGCTTTAACATCTTCGCACGAATTGGCCAGGTTCGCCCGGTGAAATACCACCACCACACAGAAAAAAGGCGTGAAGTGGAAGCAATTCCGCGTTTCGTCTGATGAGTGTGCGTCCCGGAGGCCTAATTTAGTCCTCTTTCCCTTCCCACCCCTTTCTTATAAGGAAGGGATGGGAAGAGGAAGTGGACTTTCCGGATGAGAGGATGCATGGAAAGGGAAAATATTTTCTTTCTGTGCATCCTCTCCTCCGTCGATTAAAGGTAGGCAACGCATATGCAATTGCGTATGTTTATGGGCAACGGTCACTTCGCTACTTCAGCGATTTCAGGTGGCCGCTCGCTCGTTTGCTACCTTATGATATAAAAAAAAAAAAAAAAAAAGTCTGAAATGTATTATCCTTACCAAACTGTCGATCTGCTATAATGTAAATATTTTTAAAACTTGTTAAAACAAATGTGGAGTATTGTTTATAATCACCGTCCGTGACCAGTCATCACCGAATCTTTAGCGCGGATTTTTTTACCAAACATTACGTATTTAATAGTTGTATAACACTTATAATTCCTCTGTTATATTTTTGTATATTTGAGTTTTTAGTACGGCTTAAAATTGCTTTCTTCCTCGGATTTTGTAAACGCAAACTCCAAAGCAGCACTGTTATTGCATATTTAAAATCGATTTCTACCAATCTACCAAAACTAGAACTGACCAAACCTCTGTTTGTAAAGTCTTGTATCCGCTACTGATACCAAAAAAATGAACGGATAAACAAAACTCGTGTTGCCATGATAGAAACAATAATAAACACCACTATTAACAAATATTTACTTATCAACGGATTCCGAACGTTTCGTAATGAATTCAAAATGCAACCGTGTAATGGCTTCTTTGATTGGTCGGTGTCGGTCGTACGAGTTTTATCTAGTGATACAAAGATATCTTGAAGTTTTAATTACGTACAATGTAATTGGTGTTATCAATTTTGTAGCAATAATGTAGCTTCGATTGTGATATGAAACGCGTGACACATTGAGGCTAGATTTAATGAGTGTGCCACTCCGACGTGTCAGCCAATATTCATTAGGCCAAGTGCGAATAACAAGGCCAATTATTGATTGATGATTTCAAGTTCGATATGATTTGGCTCTAGCGCAAAGTTAATGACGTATTTAAATAATCCCATTAAACAGATATGGCAGGAATGCTTTAAAGTAATTATTTGTTTAGGATTTATGTTTGAAAAACCGTTTCTTTCATCATTATTAAAATAAACATATAATAAATTTGACGTTATTTTAAACAAATTATTTTTGTAAACGGAACGTTTAACGAGATTTTTTTCTATGAAACATATGAAATGTCCATCTTTCATACTTCATCTGTTCCTCCGTCAGTTAAACTAAAGCATTTTTACTTTTCTGTTAGGTCTCTACATAAATGAGTCAAGGATTTTTTTTTTAATTTCTGCTTATTGATTCCATGTTATTGAACAAAATAATTAGTTTAATATTACGTATTTTGCAGTATGTAACGACAAACTGACACACAACCGCAAGGGACGCACCGTGATGACGGAGGACGAGAGGTACGAGGCGGTTCGGCATTGCAGATACGTTGATGAGGTAATTTAAACTTTATTGTAATAAGTATAAAAGCTATTTTATATCATGTATTCTTATCTTATCATTAGATGCTAATATACACAGCAGTGATAAATTTTCACAGATACTAAGATAATGGTCACGGATTCGATTCTTTGGTTAATTGCAATTTTGAGCTCTATTTTTTCTTATTCTAATACGTAAACAGGTTTTATTTTAATAATTACAAATTGATTGGTGTAGCCAGTTCTATATATATAAAATTCAAGTTACTGTTTTAATTCCCCTACACTTTTCACCCTAAACATAAAAATAGATTGATGTTAAATTTGACTTCCAAAAAAATCTCATTTTGATATTTCCTAGCGATGAATGAAGAGCCATGGATTCGATCGCTGGACTGGAGAAATATAAACTGGGCATTGAACTTTTTACTCAACTCTAAAAAAAACAAGTTTTTAATAAATTTTAATTAATTTAATGAGAAATAATGATACAACCTCGAAATAATGATATAAAAACATCCTTATTATAAATAAACTAGCTTGTAACCGCGACTTCGTCAGCGCAGAATTAAAAAAAAAATCTAGTAACAAATAAATCCGGTATTAATTTTAATTACATAATTATATAAGTAATTTTCTAATACAAGTTTTCCTCTTTATATTATAAATGTAGATAACCTTTGATTCATAGAATTATCACATAATTATTGTAATTTTAAGTTTTAAGGAGAAATAATACATAATAATTATTAAAGGAAGTTAATTATTAATAACGTTCTCTGTTTCGTAATAACATAACATAAATTAAATAAAGAAAAATGTAATTTGAACAGTTTAGTCGTCAGAAAACTTTTTATGGAATTGTTTCGCAAGATAGTTTTATACGAGTATATTAACTGAATTATTCTAGAAATAATGTTTAAATATTAAATTATTAAAGACTTTAAAATATATCATTTTTTCAATAATCGAGTTAATGAAATTATCTTTGTACTTTAAATTTTATTTAAGATATAAAACTCGTATGGAATGTAACTTTTTAATTTAAATTTTCCTTATGATATGGAAATTATATGGAACGGAAAGTAACAAGTATTCGTTAATTAAAACGGCTATGTGGTGTATGATGTGTTGAGCTGCGCACACGCATCAATTTGCTGTAACTCACTAAATAACGTTCAATGGCAAACTATGAAGATATGCCTGTTGTAACGTTCTAGAAATAACAATAAAGATTTTCATATTGACTTTAAATTAACATAATATTGACTGAAAAATATTTAAAAATAATATCTTAAGCCTGTTAAGTAAAAAAACAATATTTATCTTACTAGCTGTGGGCCGCACTTTTGCCAAGCGGAATTAATAAAAAAAACTTAATGAGTAGCCTATGTGTTCTTCCAGACTATGTTCTACATGTGTGCAATGTTTTATCAAGATCCGTTGAGTCGTTCTGAAGATATCTTCAAATAAACATCCATCCTTCTAAACATTCGCATTTATAGTATTGAGTCAGATTATAGTATAATATAAGATATTATAAATAGTCTATTATTAGACTATTGAAAGACGAATTTAAGTAATAATAGTAGTTGTGACCTTTAAAGTATGCCCAATTTGTCAGTTATTCTAAACCGACTCATAAGAATAAGATTAACCTAAATTTAAAATACTAGGTCGGTGGGTTATTTACTTTATAATTAACGATAAGCCGCTAACAGCACAACCAGTTTCCACCATACGACAGTTTATGTTGACACAATTCACAAACTGAACCTTTTTTGATATGTTTTATACGCCGAAAGAAAAGGTGTTAAATGTCTACACATTAGTACTTGCTTAGCAAATATTTCCGTTACCCGAATAAGGTACAAGAAGCTTAGAATGTTTTTTCACTCTTGACTTAAATCTTTTTGCTAATACACATTGCTAATACATATTCTCTCGTTTCTTTTGTTATAACATGCATAATTAAAAGTGCACTTCAGTGAGCTAAGCCGAAATGCAGGTCGTGGATTTTGTAAGAAATAGCGTAGGTTTGCGTTCATAGTGCTGCATTGTTAAAAGCCTCTCGACACCCACGCCCTGTTTTATCTAGGTCGCTACCATTTGCCTATGCAGCATTCTATGTCTCTAGAAAAATATTCTAACATCTGTACAATACTACTGCTAATGATTAACCTAATTTTAATTAAGAGTAAAATGCTTGTATATTAAAGTTATTTGCGTAAAGTCTTAATCTCTTCCTACACTATTAGGTGTAAAAATATTTTTTTAAATGTAATGTGTTATTGTTTCCTAGGTGGTTCGTGACGCGCCGTGGGAGTACGACGAGGAATTCCTAGAGAAGCACAAGATCGATTTTGTAGCGCATGACGATATCCCATACACGACCGAGGACTGCGAAGACACGTACGCCATGATCAAAGCTAAAGACATGTTTGTCGCCACCGAAAGGACGGAAGGTCAGTCATCAAACATCACCCAGATATAGTATCATCTTATGCGGACATTATGACATAAATCATATTCGGCAATTGTCTTCAATCTCCTAAAATTTTAACTGTCTCCTGTCTTTGCTTCTTACATTATGCTTATAATATCCCCATTTTCGTAGAAGTCTTTTATAAAGTTGTTGGAAAAAAAGGCGTCGGTTTTTTTTCATAATGTGTGTTATGTTAGGTGTATCCACGTCGGACATTGTGGCGAGGATCGTGCGCGACTACGACATATACGTGCGACGCAACCTGGCGCGCGGATACTCCGCTAAGGAGCTCAACGTCTCCTTCCTCAACGAGAAGAAGTTCCGTCTCCAGAACAAGATGGACGAACTCAAAGATAAAGGCAAAAAGGTAACGTCATCAGTACCATTTCCGACTATTTAAACTCGGGAAATAAGAACGAAATATTCTAGAATAATTTAGTATACTTAGAATTATGAATGTGGAAGAGGTGCTAGGACCGCGCTAAATAGGGTCCATAATTGCTGCCGACCTCACTGGAGGTAAGAGCGTGAATTGTGTATATTGCACTGTTGAAGAATAAGATGGAAGTATTTAGTATGTAACTGTGTGTTGCAGGTGATGACAAACATCGGGGAGAAGCGCGTGGACATCCTGACGAAGTGGGAGGAGAAGTCTCGCGAGCTGATCGACGCGTTCCTGCTGCTGTTCGGTCCGGACGGGCGGCTGTCCAGCATCTGGCACGAGGGCAAGGGCCGGCTGATGCAGGCGCTCAGTCAGCCGCCCTCGCCGCGCGCCTCCCCACCCCCCAGCGAGAACGGGGACGCGCACGAGCACAGGTACGTCACATTACACACATTATTTACACACACCACATGCGCCATGTTATTATATTCATTTAATTTTTTGACAGAATAATTTTTAACTTTAAATGTATATCTTAAAAAAAATCTTTCGTATATCGATTAGTAGTTATGGTATATATTTGTACTTTACAATGTTGGGTACTTCCAGTCAATCAAAGGTCATCAAGGATGAGTTATAAATATTAATAAATTTATAAGAAAATATGTGGGTGCAGTTATTTGTTTAGATTAAAAAAATAATTAGTATATATATGTAATTGTTGCAGCGGGTCAGTGTCGCCGCCGCCGGCGAAGGCGCGCCGCTACGAGACGCTGTGGGAGCCGCACGCAGGTAACTGGGTAACTATGCTTGGCTTGTACTACATACAATACATGCATTTAAGTCCCTTTCATATTCAATTTACACAAAACAACATTAAAAAAATATAGCATTATTTATAATATACTAGCTGTCGTACGCGACCTCCTCCGCGTTGAATGAAAAAAAAAACTTGATTAGTTCCCAGCAATAATTCAAATTTTTCTCACCTTTTAAATCTTCCCTATACCTCAACGAATAGTACAAGACCAAGATAAGATAAATCCGTTTAGCCGTTTTCGAGTTTTAGCGAGACTAACGAACAGCAAATGATTTTATATTATACTAGCGGACCCGACAGACGTTGTCCTGTCTACACGTCTTTAATTTGAATAAATTAATATGAAGTTAATATTTGATGAAAATTGTGAATCTAAACCATTCCTAGATCCCCTTGAACACACAAAAATTTCATCAAAATCGGTTCAGTCGTTTGAGAGAAGTTCAGTGACATACACACTTACAGAAGAATTATTTATATAAAGATATATAAGACATTGTGTAATTTATAAATTCTCATAAGACGAGGGACATAAATGCAAAATAGCACTAGCACGCTGTTAATTATATCACAAGTATTGAGCAATGCATTTTTAAACAATATATTGTAAACATTTAAATAACTTTTAAACTTTGTGTATGTAGTACAATGTTTTTTTAACCTAATATATAGTTAGCGTTGTTAATTTATTTTGCATGATTAATGATTGTACTAAAGTTGATTAGAAAACAACACCTAAGTTTATCAAAATATTTAGCATGTTTATAGAAGCTTTAGTAAAATTAGTTTTTTTGTTATCTGGTGCATGCATAACTCGCTTAATTATTATTTACTTGGTTATGTTATAAACAATATAATACAATTCTCAAATTCGTCAATTGAAATGGTATTTTTATTTTATAAAATACCCAGCGCTGGAAATTCTACAGCATTCCTAAAGCTGTGAACTTTTAATCTTAAATTGCCATTATAACTAGCTGTCGCACGCCACTCCGTCCGCCTGGAATTAAAAAAAAACTTAATAAGTAGCTTATGTGTTCTTCCAGACTGTTCTACATTTATGCCAAATTTCATCGTGATCCGTTGAACCGTTCCGGAGATACCTTCAGGCAAACATCCATCCATCCATCTAAACATTCGCATTTATAATGTTAGTAAGATATGTTCTTGCATGAAATTATATTAAGAAATATTTGTGATAGATGCATCGAGCGCTGACGGTGTTGGGGAGTCGGAAGAGGCAGCGCAGCGCCAGCTGACTGACGACGGCTCCGACAGCGACGACGACGACTTCCAAGACACCAGCCCATATCTATAGGAGGAGCCGCCAGACGTCGCGCGCCTCGCCATATGATGCGCCGCCGTCGCCCAGCTCCTAGTGCTCAGTGCTGGCTCAGCCTGCCTCGCGTGGACTTTGTAAAGTTGCAACACCTTTGTCACACAAATTCTTGGTCATCAAAAACTCAGAAAGTGTCCTCGGCTTGCAACATATCTAATTACACATGATTGTGTAGTTTTAGTAGATTTAATATATTACCGCTTACTCCGTCTGGGGTTACGGCCGTTTAGACATCGTCGACTTATCGAGGCTTAGTGTAGCCAATAGTATTTTTTTACTATTGTAAATCGTCCATTGTCAACGACAATGCTAATGGATAGGAGTGCATTTCGTTTAAAAATACCCTTTGTGTTAAATTATTTTAGTGTACGGCTTCAAATTCGCGTGTCGTCCGTCTGCAAGACTCGAGTGAATGTATTTTATCCTATTAGGTTTTAAAAATGTATTTACTTTATTTATGATGATTTTTAAATGTAAATCTTATCTCATTATTATGATTGTGCGTGCGTTTTGTGGGTGCAGAGTATGTAGCGAGCGGTTGCGGGCCGCAAGACCCGCGCCCTCGCTTCCTGTCATGCGCTCACAACACCTTGTTTGTATTCTACTTTTTGACAGTTGATTAAAGAGGTGCTTATTTTATATGTGTTTTCTTTACTTCCCTACTGTTATCCCTTGAAAAGTACCTAATCTAAAAGGTCTAGTCCTACACACTCTGTGCAAAGTGGCTATGAAAAATAGTCTTAGTCGCGAAAAAAAATTGTACAATTTACGTAGGATAAGTTGGAAATACATATAGATTTCATTTTTAAACGAAGTTTATAAAACATATTGACACAATTGATAAGTGTTGCAATATAAATCACGATTGTGGCGCCCTCATAATAAGGTTGTTATATTTTTGTCAGGCTTTAATAATTCATTATTGTGAGGGATCTTGGCAATAAAACTATTATTTTCTCACATTTCAGGTTCTTTTTTTATGTTCTGACACATGTTCTTATTTTTCTTAAACTCTAAAACAAACGTCACTTCTTTTTTGACACATTTGTACGAAATAGGCATATCTACAACAATTATCATACATCATTTATTGAAATAAAAAATTCTAATTTTGTATGTAATAGTCATATTATTAAAGAAGATATTTCAGTAAAACAAAGAACAAATTAAATTGCAGTCTAATAATATGTATTTATTTAATACAAATAATTTTTTTTACAAATAGGAAATGCATTTCCTACAGTCACTTGTACTTAAATCACACTTAATAATATTAAAATTTGATTAAGTCAGAAAGAATACAAAACTGACTATATTTAAAAAGTTTTCACAAAAAATAAAATTATTTTTTCAAAAATTAAATAAAAAGTTGACATTTTATGATATAAGACTTGTATTTGTCATTGAATGGTAAAAATGTTGTTCATATTACTGAAGTTATTAGGACTTTCTAAATCATCATCATCAGCTCACTATACTGCCCCACCAGGCGCTCGGAGCCTACCCTAAGTTAAGGGTGACTAGGCCATAGTCAAATCATTATAATAAAAATAATAATAAAATAGATTCGTTGAAGAGTTGATTAAAAGTTGCCTCTTATATTACTATAATAAAGGAAATCCTTTTACATAATTATTTCTAGATATACACCTATCACAGTCCTATCAAGTAATGTATTTGATCATAAAGTTACATTAACTTGAGACAGAAGATTATAGTTCAGACTTATCATATTTACTTCCTTTGTCCCCTTTGGATTTAGGTTCTAGCTTTTCAAACAAGCAAGAGTCATCTGTATTCTTCAAAGCATTCTTTGTACAAAGGAAATTTTTCAAATCTATTTTACCTTGATGATTCCAATACCACTCTTCAATAGCAGATTCATTCTCTTCTAAAAGGCTCTCACATTGAGTTTTCATATGAGTAATTTCAGCTGAGGGCTTATCCCATAGTTCATATGGTATGCCAAGATCAACTTTTACCCCTTTGTCTACAAGTCCATGGAGAGTTTTAAATGTCTGGCTCATGCCTTTTGCAAACCGAGTGCTGTCTTGCCTCTCTTTGTGTATATTATATTCCAGAATCCTCTCGCACACTCCCTCTAAAGATTCGATTAGCCTTAATTCAGATTTTTCGTACTTAGTTTTTTTCTTTGGCTGCACATCATCCAACGAGTATCCAATTTCGATAACGTCGTGCACTTTGCCGGTTTCTTCTAGCCTCCCTTGTAGTTCTGTTGCAAGTACTTTGCAAACTTCACATCTATTCGCATACTTCACCCCCACGTCTTCTTCTGTCTTAACGTCTATATCTTGGTTACATAAAATGTTTGCTGAATAAAATATCGTTATGAATATAAGTCCTCTGAAAAACATTCTGTAAGCCGATCGAATCTGTGTATTGAGCGAATCAAAACGAAATATTGCCGGTTGGGGGTAGTCGTCTGACTTAGCCAATTATACGAAAAATCCTCAACCTCGGCCAACCAATGGATGTTTCGTTCGTGTTCCTTGGTGTTTTAATTTATCAAATCTAATACTAAGATCAATTTCGACGTTTAACAAATTTGACAATGACAGATACGTTAGTCGTCTTATGTCACAGAATCAAAAATATAGGCTTTTTTTTTCAATTTAACATCTGAAAATTCTGATTTCCAAAAGACTTCCTCCAGAAATACTGTAGTTTTAGTAAACAGTAAAGAAAAATATTTCCATCACAAAGTACATAATAACAAAAATAATTTACCCTGCCCTCAGAAGTTATGAAGTGCAGCATCCAAACATCTAGCACAACAAAACTGAACATAACGAACAGTTTCAAGCTCTAGTCATTTTGCTCCACTATTGTTTAGTGATACCAACACATTCAGTTCATAAGGGACACCTAGAGATGAGCTAGCATCTAATTACATCCATGACATCACAAAAATCAAACAATCTGAGATATCAGTCAACTAAAAAAAAATATTTAATAATAATAATTAATCTTTATTTCAGACTTATGATCCATACAAAAAATGTCACAAGAAAAATGTGGATTTGACAATAAACATTTTTCAATGCATGGTTTTGTCAAAATCAGCTCCAAAAGAGGCAGCAAATAAAGGTATCAATTATTTGTAAGTTTGTAATTGAAATTCAAAATGTCCTTCAAGGCTTTTTGTCCAGTTATTATCAACGACTTTTTCCAATGTCACTTCTTGAAAGATTTCACTTCTTGATTTCTCTTTAAAATTCAATTTTTGGAACATATTTATACTAATAATGTTTTCTATACTAATCTTTGCCTCAAATGTTTTTATTTTAATGAACTTAATTCCATAGAGAAGCATAAGTATGACTGCTTCCCAGCCTTTTTTGCTTCCTCTTGCGGTTTCTTCTGCTATCATTATTTCTATCTCCCCAACCATATTATCATTGTCTATTACAAATATATTTGTGTCACCAATCATGGAATCTGAAACATGTAATGATTATAGACATACTTTCTAGGAATATTCTTCTTTGCTATCATAGAATAGTTTAATTTCACTTTAAATAGGCGGAAAAAATTGTATTAAAAAGTAAACAATCTTATTACCACTAACCATTTTCATCACAATTTTGTTCATACTTGTGTTTATCTAATATTATAAATGTGCATTCTGAAAAAATAGTTATAAATGAATATGACATTGTTAAAGTTCTTAATAAAAGACAAGTAAAACTTTTAAAACATACTATCATCGTCTTCTTGCCAAGTTTTTTGCATTTTATACTCCTCTTCTAAAGTCAGAGGCTCTGATGCGGTGAGTTTTTGCAATTCTTCTGATCTCATCCATGTGTGATATCTGAATTTTAAGTATAATGGTGAAGAATATTTACAAATTGAAAAAGATAAAAGAATATAAAATATACTACATACTTAGGAACATGATGCTCTCTGTAAGGTACAAGAATTGTATTTTTGCCCAAAATTTTTGTATTAAAATTTAATCTCATTTTGAAACTACCATGTAAGCATGAAAAAAGAGAAATAACTTTTTATAGTAATAATAGCTTCTGTGTTTTTAATCTGATATAAATGTACTTTGTAATTGCAAATACATAGGAGATTGAATTTGGTTCTTTTTCTTCATTGAAATTTCGTTTACGTTGTTTCTTGTTCATTTCGTTTTCACGTTGACATTGACATATTTACATGCCCTCATTTGTCAAGTCAATCGTCGCTTTTTTTTAATTTTATGACCTGGTAACATACAGCTTTGGGTCATATCTTATTTGGAAAATGTTCATTACTTTGGGTCGCTATTTTTGGCATTTTGATATTAGTTAAGTCATATTTTTATGATAAAACTTTATCCTAAACAGCTATATTTCATGATGGTTCCATTTGAAAATAGCGAAATAGATGTAGTAAGCAAAACTTTTTAACCACTGGTTTTTGGCAACTAATCACAACCACTTAATTTACGAGAAGACTTATAAAACCGCAAACAGAACTGTATAATAATTTGACAATCCATTTTATATGCTCTTTGGCTACCTGCCACACCTGCTTATATTTATTTTTTGACACTTTATTCATCTGTAAACAACAGGAAAGAAACTAAAATTTAAACATAAAATTGACTGAGATTAAATTCGTTTTCTTATAAATAAACGTTTTGTTATCACGTAATTTCAATTAAAACTTAAAATATTTTGGTTTATTACGTTTAGTCATAATACGCTGATTATTATCAAATCTCTAAAACTGATAAACGTTATCTTAAACCTATCTATTGTCCCCCTTTAGTTAATCAAATAATACTGGGTGGAGTAGGAGCTTGTAACCCCTTTTACGGACAACAATGAATCAATTTGAGACGGAAAGACGGCTCTGCTGGAGTTACGGTCTCTTAGCTGTCCTACTTACAATATCTGTCGTGTGTGTTGCAATTCCTTACAATCATTGGCGTACAACTCTTGACGTTTGCCCAGGAGGATATTTTGAAAATACTAACTGTGGATGCATCTTTTATGGTATTAGCACATTCCAAAACTTCAATGGTGGTCACAACTCATACTGCTTGTATGCTGTATTTGCTCCTCTTCCAATATTAGTGTATGCTATTGTAATGGCCTCGTTTCACATGTATAGAGTTTGTATCAACAATGTTGGACAGTATGAAGGAGAGAAATCCACAACAGTTGAAGAAATGTAAGTTTTTCAAGTAATTAATGCCTTTTGGAAAAATATTATCACATAGTTATATAAAATTAATGTAAATGTTATTTACAATTTCAGCGAAGGAGAGACAATAGTAGTATCTTCAAGGGCAAGAATATCTCAGCGTAATGATGCTGTCATTTACTGTTGGATACCAACCTCATGCATAGCCGCACTGTTTGCAGTATACAATCTAATCTATGCTGCTATTATAACTGATGGGTTTTTAAAAACTTGTATGCAGTATCGAGGATATTTAGTCCGTGTAAGTTGTTTAACTTCTATTCCAAGTTATAATGTATTACACTTGTGATAAATTATTTAATTTATAATAATTATGAAAAAAAAACTTGAAAATTCCAAGTATACATATAGCTATATAATTCAGAATCCTTTGCTAGTCTTAAATAATTATCAATCAAGAATATTGACAAGATAGGCTTATGGTTAATCTTATTTTTGCATAAATAAATTTTTATGTTTGCAGAACCTTAGAGCTGTAGGTGACCAGGCCACTGCCATACATTTCCGACTTAGCTGTCAGGCAATATTTGACTTTATGGATTACATACAGAAAAATGCATTGAGCAGTCGACATGGAGATTTCATTAACACAGGGCTGGCATTACAGTTGGCTATCATTGCTTCTTGGTTATCTGTTTGTTTATGGATAGCTGTTACTGTTATGACTTCGCTAAGGGCCTACAGAGAACGCGATGTGCTTACTTGTTGTGGAAAATAATTATTTTTTTCTGCAGTTGCAGACTTGCTTACAAAGTTTAATATGGTGTAACCAATACAATTACTGTATTAAATTAGAACATAATTTTATATGAAAATTTAAAATGGCAGCATTCATTAATAGTCATAAAATGCATGTGTTACGATTGTTATTATGTATTTTAAGTCTTTTTTAACACATTGTATGGAACATTTAGATAAAGTACAATACATATATTTTAATTATATAGTTTGTCTAGTATTGGTGTTACAAGTAAATAACTTATGTAATAATGTAAGACTGATGAAAATTGTAACCCGCCCATATATGCATAACATAGTATAAGTACAAAGACAATCCACTAGGTTTAGAGATTCAGAGCTTATTTACGCTCTAAGGTAAAGACTTTTTATGATTATTCTACTGTTAAATCACTTTTTTCTATTCAATATTTCATATAATTACAGTGTTTGAAATGGATTTACAACTAAACAGATTGTTTTGTTTGTCTTGTTGGCAGTGCTGTACAGAACAGGTGTATAACAAAATATACATTGTACAATAATATAATAAATAACAATTAAGTTGTACCAAAATAGTTTCATAAGTGTAGTGTCATAAGTTTTTAAATGTTGTGCCGTCCAAATGTTGTCTTATTTTGAGAAAATAATTTTATATTGTTATGTTTAAGATTCATTTTTCACGATTTCAGTGGCGCTAGTTTACATCGAATTATGTGATTTCTTAGTATTTCATATATTTTACAGTTTATATTTAAATTTACATAAGATATTTATATTTCTGAACAAAATAAAATCTTTAATTTTACATTTGTCTTAATTTATTGAAGTTCCTACAGGTTCCCTTCTCTTAATGCACCAGTTTTGTTGATCGCTATTATGGCTCTGAATGTTTTTTGCTCCATGTTCTTTCATCAAGTCAGCCTCGCTGCTCTGCAGACTACGAACCAGTTGTAATTCCATCCTGGGCACCATATCATGGAGATTTGAATCTGCTATTACTAGGAATTGTTTGTAGAAGCATCTCAAACAATAACCTAGTAACAAAATAAATTATAGCAACTGTTTTATTTTATTTTACATAGTCGTAGGATCTGTTTTTGTAAAAACACTATATGGATGTAATTTTTCCGGAATACAAGTTTTTTTTTCATTAAGTGACTGGTAAAATCCTATATCATTCAATCCTGTTATTTTTCAAGGTTACTACCTTGTAGTAGTAAGTAAATAAAACCAATTTATCATCACATAAAATATAATAACATCAACAACACTACTTACATACACTGTACACAACAATTTTTTTTTATGCGCTTTTATAATATTTCAAATGTTTCATTGCACTGGATAAAAGAGTAAATGGACAAGTTTTTTTTTAATAAGTGGTATACATAGATTTTTTTTTAAATTATTTAGTATTCAAAAATCCTTATTTTTGTCTAAAGATTTAAAAATTATGCTTAGAAAAACATCTATTAAACAGTTTTTAAACGTATTATGAACAAATTGCATTTAAATTAGAAAGGTTCTTTATTTTGTTAAAATTATGTAAAAAAAAAGTGTCAGTCTGTACATTTTTCTGTAGAAAAAAAAATATTTGCTTTTCTTAAGGATTTCAACATACAAAATTATATTCTTATTATAATATCACTTTTATTTACGTTCAAAGATAATAGTAAAAAAAATATAGATAAAAATATATTTTAATATAATGTTATTGAATAATTAATATTTACGTATTTTATATGAGTTGATTTACTACAAGAAAAATTTCTTTGCTTAGCTTTACTTTATGAAGACATAGAAATTGTAAGATTCATTTCATTACTCTAATCTTCATAGAAATAAATGTAAATTGATTTTAAAAAGTACAACAATGCAATATTACATTTAGTAAAAATACATAAATTAACAAAGACTTCTCAATATTCCTTTAATAACTAAATGTTCTTAGTTGCCAAAATTCAAGTAGCCGTAATATTTTCTAAATTAAAATAAGTATTTAAAAGTATTATTTATTTTGGCAGTATTCATTACATATATATCTTAAATAAAATCCCTGTAAAACTAAATATTAGTATTAATAAGTGCAAAATACAATTTTATGTATAATTTCGTATATAAACATGATAAAACATCGTTTGGTAAAGTATATTTTCGGCAACAAACAGTTATTAGTAATTTATATAAATCTAAAATAAGAATTAAATAAATATTCATAATACAAATAGCAGAAAAAGAATTACAAACTTATGGCACATTTCATTCTTTTGCGATTTTAGAATATTAATTTAATGTGTATTGGCTAATATATTATATTCGAGTAAAATAGAAATTCAAAAATATAGCCTAAGTGTTACTATAGCTTGAACAACACGAATAAACTCTGTGAGAATGTAAAATGTTTCCTTTTCTATGGAAGCTAAAAAACTCCATAGATTTGTTACTTAAAAAATCGATAAGCCCGACTGACTCCGTAAAGACTTATAAGAAGGAATCTACTCGAAAGTTGCATAACTTGCCAAAATCAGTTCAGTCATTTAATTGAATTGACATACATAAAAACACACAAAAATATGTAATTTACGTGATTAACTTTCAATGAGTTGTGAACAATATAGATTAAATACTTAACATAACGGAGAGCATCATAATTTTCAGTTTTGACATTCCTCCTCCCAATTATTTGGAATCAATGTTTCAATGTGTTGGATAAAACGATTGTAAGTGCAAGGATCATCACAGAATGGCATATTCAACTCCATCGGAACTTCCACTTTTGTATTGTTACGATAGAATAACTGAAACAGAGAAGTTTTCATGCTGATTCTAGCTATTTGTATAATTTTTTATAGCGGTGGTGTGAATTCGAACTAACAATATAGATAGATTTATTTGACACGAAGCATCAAGAGACGTGTTTAAATTGGAACCAAAGAAAAGCTGTCATTTCCAAATAATAGTAAATAAAAAAATATAGAGAAGATGATCAGTGTGTTGTGCCCATCCTTTCTATCAAAATGTTAAACTTGAAACTCTTACCTTAACAAAAAATGTGTCTTGTTCAACTTCTTCATGCAGTTCAAGCACAAGACTGGCGCCATATTCAGGTTCTAACAACTCACTATAGCCGAGTGTACGCCACAGACCGACCACCGTCACATCGTGCCCCGAATAGATGTACAGTGAACGATCCAAGTTTGTATGACTCACACTATCTTGTAAATTCATTTTTATTTCATTCAGAAATGGACCTGTAATATAAATGAAATAGAATGGTACATTAAATGCTGGGATCAATATCTGTTTTTACTTGTAAACAAAAGCATACTACCACAAAGGTGTAGGCAGACAACTGTCAGCAATAATATTTTTTTAAATATTTACTGTCAGCACATTAAAATTAGCAACCAATAAAAAGGTAATAAAATTTATATTATAAGAATAATATAAATACACACTATCTGTACTTGCCTACTTTGAGTCTTTGTAAAGTTTGATTGTATGATAACAAAGCAAGACTAAGCATAAACGGAGTACGCATTTTATTTGGGAATACATTCTTTGTCCAATCCGGAAGTTTCAGTCCTGCTTCCTGTTGTGTTTGCAAAGTACTGTACAGGAAATCTACGTTTAAAACGCTCCGCATACTCTGATTTGTGTGTTTACTAAGATAATCAAATAGTTCAGCAAACTTAGGATCAGAATTGGCCTCTTCTAACAACTCTTCGTACATTGACTTCCAAACTTTGCATGGTTTTGTCTGTGCTACTATCTGGAAGGAATATATTGTTAAATCAATACAAGTTTTGCTACATGAATATGCAATAATATTCTCAACTATATTCAGTAAATAATACAGAGTGTCCATTATTTGCACAATTGTATAGTAAAGGTAAACATTTATTAAAATATACCATATTCTAGGTTCTGTATTATTTTAGGTTTTCAGATAAAATAACAAAATGTTAAATACTCTGTATAGAGGAAGCGTTTTACTAAACAAGAAGTAATTTCTATTTATAGACTAATATAAGAATCTTACATCGTCCAAATCCTTAGGCAGGGAATGTACAGGTATTGGTTGCCATGGTAACTCTGGATGCCATGTCTGTCGGTCTGATGGTGGAAAAAGACCAGCAAGGAATGTGTATGCGCTCATCAAGCAACGAGACTTATCACTACTCATTACATAGACATCCTTCTCGTAATATTCCTCAGGGATAAAGTTAGCATAATAGTTACGGTACTTTTTACCTAACTCATATAGTTGCAGTTTTCCAGCCTAAAAAAATAATGATGAATATTAATTTGCAAATGCTAAATATATTTTAAATTACAGATAAATATCAACAAACAAAACTTATTTTTTTAATATCAAGGCTGATATCATCTACTTTGATAAACAACTTATTTCATACTCACATTTGTTAAGCTGCCAAGTCCATCAGGCCATTGATAATTCTTAAAAGGATCACTTTTGTAACTTGATATTGGAGTTCTAGCACCATGACGAAATAGCTACAACAAATTTTCACATGTTTTAATAAGTTCTTATAAAACTACTATTATCTATCTTTGGTAATTAAAATTTTTGAACAGCCTTAATTTTGTTATTTGAAATACTTAATAGTCAAATGTGCGAAAAAATTAATTTAACGTTCAAGGTTGGGAAAATTCAACATTCCTGAATATCCTCTTAGTTACTGGGTTAGAAACTCAATATAGGAATACTTACAACAATCACAAGACGCAATGTTTTAGATTCATAGGGTAGAGTTTCGCTAAGGACACAGTATCCTAACAAACAACTGAGTACGGCTAATCCTAATACAATAACAGCAACTGTGTGTGATCTTTTTGGCATTGGCTGACAAGTTGTTTGCTTCAACGTAGCCGACGATCGTCGTCGCCATGTATGGTCTTCTTTATCGTACTCCATTGTGAGTAGTTAATATTATTATTTTATTTAAAACAACCTTATTAAATTTAAATATTTATTTTCATACTAAATCATCATCACTGAGTAAGAGAAAACAGTTGCAGGCTTACATGACAATGAACATTATTAGAAACATAAACGTTTATTTACATAAATGTACAAAAAGATAAGATAAATAACGGTTGGCACTTGCAAATGTTTGTAAAATAGGCAAACAGATAGAAAATTGCATTTGTAATATTTTTTATGATTGACAATTGACGTTGACATTGGACGATGTAGCAAAGAGTAAAATAATGGGTAGATGAACAGATTTCGTTGGGGTAAGTTTCGTCAGATCAGTTGAGATCAGCGAGTTTGTAAAAAAGTAAGGTAGGGATTACAGATACCCATTATTCACGGTTCACCGGCAAAATTGATGCTTTTCAACCTTGAGCATACTTTAGTGGTTATTGTTTTTCTTGTAGTTTAATAATTGCCTTAGAATACAAAATTCATATTGTAAATAGGCTATGGAAGTAATGAAATAAAAATACTATGAATTAGATTATATGTTTATTCATTTTGAATATATATTATCAAACAAATGTTTATTAGTAAATTGGACGTTAATGTGATTAGTCTTATAGAATATGTGAAATTTAACAAATTCTTAGTAAAAAAGTTTATCAATAAAAACAGTTTTGTATACATATTAAATCATTATAAGGAATTTTTATTTTACAATTATCTCAATAGTAAATGCATGTATTTATCACTTATTCTTATAAATATATCCGAAAAGTAATAACTATTTATAGAGATAAGACAATAACAACAGTATATACAGGATGTATCTCAGATGAACATAATTGGGCTTTATAATATTGAGAGCCTCAAAGTCCCATAAAGCTTTAAATTGATCACATGAAATACACCCATATTAAATAACAATGCATAATAAACATTAAAAGTAAAAAAAATTGTAAATTGTGCAAGCAATAAAAAAATAAGTGGCGAGTTATAAGTACAATTAAAATGTTAGTAGAAATTTTCAATAAACCTATGTCATAAATTTTACGAACAAAAATGATTAAAATGTAAAAAAATTATAACAAATTAGTTCTTGTTCTTCACTCCCTGATCATTTGTTGTAAATGGATTGTAGTCCTGAATGCCCACCAGGTTCATTGAGATGTCCCAAAGCTTCTTAGCATGCTCATCATTTAAAGCATTGTGATGTGGAGGGGTAGCAACGCAATCACTGTCAAACAATCATTCATTGACAAAGGTTCCAATGTGCAATAAATTTACAACCACAAGTTGAAGTAGTACTCATATTAGTAGGAATAAAAAATTACTACTATTAGTAGTACTAGGTGGCTATTATTTACACAACTTTATGACTAGCACACATTTAACAACTACTTATGTAAGCAAAAAACTGATTTATGTAAATTAAAAAAAATAATGTGGGAAAGAATTATAATTGCTAAAACTATCATAGACAATATCATACATTCCCACATATATCATTTTTTTTAAATTATAATAGTTATTTTAATTAATTCTACCTGTAATATAATCCGGTTTCATTAGCACATTTTTCATCAACGGAACAATATATCGTGGTTTGAGCACCAAGTTCCGCAGACTTCATAAATGGACCAAGCAAGATACCAAATAGTGTTCTTGCACCTCTGAATAGTGTATCATTCATGTGACGGCCGAGCTCTGTTTTAATTACACCTGGGTGAAGACTGTATGTATTAACTCCTTCTATGTTATGTTCCTGCAATTTAAACAATAGGAGGGGAATGTATCAGACTATAAATAATGTTAGAATATCTCTCTATATCTCTATTAATATTGCTAGAAAAAAAAAAAACCATTTGCTTCACTTTTTTAACCTGTTTATGTCTAATAGCTTTTTCCTATGACTGCATGGAATTATAAAGTATACATGAATAAATATAGCTTATGTTACTTTATTGTTAATGTAGGCAATCTAATGGCAAAATATTTTTTGATTTGACCAGTAGTGTTTTAGTTTATTACATGCAAAAAGTTCAAAATATACCACATTGTAATATTATTTGAAATTATTTAACTGTAAAATCTTATTAAATCTTTATTTAAATGTTTGTTGTATAGACTAAGATTGACTAAGAGTTGGTGACTCATTGTGCTAAACTACATGTGTTGAATTAAAATTACTAGGACCTTACTTTGAATTTTGCTGCCAACTCCCTGGAGAATAACACATTAGCAAGTTTGCTTTGTGAATATGCCTCCATGGCACTATACGGTCTCTTCTTGTAATTCAAATCATCGAAGTTAATGCCATATCCTGAAAAATTTAAATAGTCTCAGTATTCAAATTTGTAACCTTTACTCAGAATTATATATTAGTGATGAGTTTTAAACAAAATATAAATCCTATTACTAAATACATGTACATATGTAACAATGAATCTTATAAGATAAATGTTAATGTACAATGTAATTAAGATCGAGTTGTTTTTAAGTAGTATAAAAACCAGTTTATTTTCGTGGTAAAGTAATAATTAGTTCATCACCACAAATTTCTAATCATTAAATATTGTTAAAAATAAAATTATTTACTTGTGTGTGCTTTGGACGAAACAGTTACTATTCTGGCTGGAACACTGTTTCTTATGCGCGGCAGAAGCAGCATGGTTAGCAGAAAGTGACCTAAATGATTGGTTCCAAATTGTGTTTCAAAACCATCTTCAGTTTCACCCTTAGGACACATCATGACACCTGCATTGTTAACTAAAATGTTAACATGAGGTTCTGTGTCTAACACTTTCTGGCTAAAATCACGGACAGACTTCAAAGAAGATAAGTCACATTTTTCTAATACCAAGGTACCAATTTCCGGTAAATCTTTACATTTTTCTTCTATTTCTTTCTTCGCTTCTTCACCTCTTTCCAAGCTGCGACATGCCAATATTACTCTAGCACCTAAAACAAATGTTAAGAAATTAAGTAAATGTAATCATTAAAAAATTTGACAGTCATAAAAAAAATTACCTCTCTTATAGAAATCTAAAGCAGTTTCTTTTCCGATCCCTGTATTACTTCCCGTTATAATCGCAGTTTTTCCAATTAACTTTGCGGTACTGTAACACCTGCCACTAAACAACGGCATTTTGTTGTTTTTAACAAAAGACAACAAATGTAATGTGTATTTTTTAAGGAAGTACTGAAGTCTTTATTTACGACGAAGGCTATTTATATAGTTTTGATTTCTGTATCACGATGTTTCACAATGTTAAGTGATACAAGATGATTTAACTGTTTGCGGTTTGGCGGTTAAATTCAAAGAGTATGTAACTAGTAACTATAGTCAAACTGAACCGCCGTGAGAGGCGCTGCTATCGCGTTTGGCTTTGTCGGAAAATCGATAACTTTTAACAAATAACATTGCCATGCTTTTTACATTTGATAATGAACCAAAATATTTCAGGCAAGTCGGCAATAACTTTAAAAACTCAAATGTTTCAGTAAAAAAGGATGTCATTTATTAAAAATCTAGTTGATATCATAATGATTTTTTGCAATACTATAGCTACTAGGGAGGAAAGAATTCTATAACCCCGAAACCATACGTAAAAGAATAATACATAAAGCAAATAACTTTTTTCCTCAACTTTTATTTCTTGCTTAATATGTTTATGATGCTTATGTAAGTCATTATGACGGAGACTCTTAAATTGATATGTGCCTTTGGCGGGTTTTTCACAAAAGAAAATGGCAGGGACTGTGCAGTCAGCTGTGGCGAGTAGGCCGCTGCGTCGAATGCCGCCGCATCGGTCTCCGTTGGATTCTGCGTCATCCGACTGTGGGCACTTCAAATCCCAGTCCAAGAAACGGCTTAGAGGCTTCCCTGAAAAACATTTATTTATTTCATACTTAATTTTTAATTCGATTTTTTGGAACATCCTTACTGTTAAAACAGGAAAATCTTTTTACTGAGGCAACATTGTAACGGCGTTCGATTGTCATCATTACAATAAATATGTAAATGAAAAACGGTAAGCATTTGTGCAGTTCTAACTTCAAAAAAATAAGTAATATTTTGTGCCCGCCGATACAATCCAGTAATAATAAAGAAGTAACGGCTCGAGCCGAGGTTCCTGAGGGAGCCCTCGAGCTTAGTTACTCTTAAACGAGGTTTAGGCTAAGTGCCATCTGCGTTCGGCCACCTCAAGCCCGGTGAAGCTGTAAATGCCTACTCAAGGCAAACAGTGGCAATTCAGTCACAAAAAAAAAGTGTGTTTAAGATAAAATATCGAACCACAGTGCCGTAAAATCTATAACATCATTCAGCGGCGATCAAAGAGTTAAAAGTTAAAGCACATACTAAATAAACATTATTTAACTATATTTTCTGTGGTTTAATTTAAAGTTTACTTCGATTCCAAGTATCAACTACCCACAGTGTACTATTCAACTTCATCTCGCAGTTCCAAAAAAATACATACCAGATTACTAGTCATTGTTAAAATTTTATCTGTCATGATATTAGTAAATTCACATACCATGCACAGTTCTGTAATGATATGCCTGGAAGAGATCACTGAAACCCAAAAATGCGAAGTCCCCGGGTGTCTTGACCTGGTCTACTTCTTTGAACTGCTCTCGTATGTACTCAGCCTCGTCTCTAGTGTCGAGTATGGCGAGGTACCCGCCTGCGGAGAGGCAGGTGCCGTGCGCCTCGTGCCACGTCTGCGGCTCCGCGTGGGTTATGTAGCACGAACCGTTGTTACCCAGTTTCCACCCTTTCATTAAATTATTTTTATTAATTGATATTATTTACATACAGCCTCAATAACGTTGTGTTTCGAGTTTTTTACTTACGTAAGTATTTCATTCATTACTATAATAATTTGAAGAGAATCACTTACGTAGAACAAATATGTTTAATCTGATTGTATCAGATGTAAAGAAACGTACGTTTTATCAGTACATTTTTGTTTAAAGATCGATGATAAATTGTAATAGCGTTAATTATCGAATCACAGATGGCCTTCATAAGTATTTGTCTGCATCATAGGGCAAAGGTATTTCTTAAAAAAATATTGCTACTAATATTAAAAGAGTAAGTAGTTAGTCGAAGTATTAGCAATATCAACAAATGTAACTAAAAAGTGGTTGCGAGTGGGAAGGGAGCATATGTTACGTTGTAGTCTAGAACTCACGTGAATCAAACGTATCGCACTCTTCATAGTAAGAGACCCGTTTTGCTTTCGATTTACATATAAACGGTAGTCGATTTGTGCAAGGGTTGACATAGAATCTTCCATTTCGTCGCATCGCAACACATCTACCGCCACCATACACAGGTTGTTCTGACTCCCATAATAAATCCAAAATGGAATCCCGCAACTTGCTACCTTGATACAAAATGTAAGGTATCTAATTGCATTTAAAAAAAGAACTTCAAACAAAACTTAACACACAACCGAAAGGTCCAGGCAGAGACTTCAAATCACTATTGAAAAGCATAACAATCCGATGAGTCTTGATTCGTCTTCGACAGATTATATACTTCTTCGGTGAGCAGGTATATAAGGCTTAAATTCGAAGTCATGACTACTTAAAACAAAATGTTTTTATAACGATCTTTAGAAGCTTATTAAAAGACCAATAAGTTAACTTTAAGGTCATTGCACATTCATTTCTTAACATGAAATATATTTCTAACAAACCTTTTATCGTAACAAAGTATCTTTCCGTGTAAAAGTCATGTATACCGACGTAGACCCCTTCAAAGGTCGTAAGTGCGGACGCAATGAGGAGCGGCATGGCGTCCGCCTCGTCAAGGGTGTCGGGCACCATCAGGTGGGAACCCTCAGCTTCGCAGCGAATGCGAGCGTTGCTCCAATTGGCCGCAGAGTGCAGTTTGTAGAAAGAATTGAAAGCTTTCTCGAATCTATAGTCTTCTCGGTATTTAGGTCGCTGTGAAACTATGATACGAATGAATACGAACGATAAGAATTAAAAAAAAATAAGGGGTCATGTGTGTGAAGATATGTCTTTGAATCGTTGTATACAATTATAAAGAACATCTTTGAAGCGTCAGTAACCTGATCTAGCGGTCGTAGGTTCGAATCCCGGAATACGACTATTATTTTAAAACAGTGATTAAAACATATATGTTAAGAAAAATCTGCTAGTATCAAAAAAATAACGCCCGTAACCCAGAGAGGCTATCTATCCTCTCTACGAATTTAAATTTGACGTATATCCTTGTGTTTGTTATAACAACAAAATAAACATACCACAAAACTCAATCATACATAGTAATGTCAGACCAGATAATATTGTAGGTAATAAATATTTCATTGTAATACATTGCGTTTATTGTATGAACTTATGATTTATTAACTTAACCAATTTATCCATTCTGATGGCTTTTGGAAAGCGGAAAATTATTTGAAATCTTTCATTAATTAAAAATTCAATTTTATTACTTAATTTTATTTACCTATACACGGATTGAAATTTATTTTACAGTGCAACTTGAAATAGTATTTGCAAGAATAAGTTAAATATTGAACTTGATTTTTTTTTAATAAATAAGATTCTACATATATATATCGTGATTGTATTGCGATTTTACAAGCTTATATACTTTTTAAAAGCTAATAAATATAAAAATCAGACCATATATAAAAGTTACACCATGTTCAGGTTCATTTTTGAATTATAATATCAAAATTGTGGATTAAAGCTAGAGAAAACAAGCTGTTGAATTCAAGCATTTTTATAAACATATTTTGAATTTTCTAATTAGCACAAACATTTTTGCATTATATGCTTTTGTTTGTTTATGCTTTTATTGTTTATGCTAAATTTATAAAATAAAAAGTTCATTTGTGACCATTTGATGTGAAAGCAATGATTATTTTTATTCCTTTCTACCTTATGTATTCCAATAAATGCTAATTATTTTCTATATAACACAATTCTAATACATTACATATACACACATACTTAACTTAATTCAACAAAAAAAAACAATTAACAAATATTATTATCAGATATTTCATATCTTATTTTGACTAGGCATATAAAATTTTCCTAAAAATTTCATACGAGGCATTTATAATGCCCCAACTTAAAAATGCTCTTGATATATTAAGGAGGGCTCCATGATAGAAATTAGCAAATTTTGATCCTCGTTTATGTAATATATATTTGAACTCATATGTTATTGTTCTATGCGGACCACCTAGTTCACATTGCATAGCTATTTTTATAACATTCAAGGGATAAAATAATGTACTGAGGAATGCACCAATCGAAGCTCCCGCTAAGAAATTTTGTAAGCTTTCATACACAATATACTCTTGCCGTGGCATCCGTAATTGCACTTCATCTCTAATGATAAAGAACAACGCATTAGAAGGGCCATTTCTGAAGAGAATTGGTACAAGTCCTCTATAAAATTCTTTAATACCATAATATTTGGCAATATGACGGCCGGCATGAGCAGTATTTTTGAACTCCTTATGGAATTTGGGATGAATTAACAGTGTTTGTAGTCTCTCAAATGGCATTAGTGTGGCTTCAAAGCATCCTGCCACCATTCCGGCTATAGATTTGGCGACATAAGGGTTGACTTTGTGATGCAGCAAGGGTTGGAGGCACTCATCATATACACCAAACATTAGAGACATAGAGAATGACCTCTGTAGTAGTGGGGGAAGCATTCCTCGATATAAATATGTTAATCCCTCCTTTTGCAATTGATTTAATGCCAATGTTGCTTCCACTCCATGCATCATCTAAAAAAAGACAATAATTATACTCTTAAGATAATAAACTTGTTTTAAAATATACATTGTAGGGTACTTCTCATTTAACATATGGGCGACCCCAAAGAATGTATTTAAAGATATAGTGATATACCTAAACAGTGTTTTGGTTAAAAATGATGGTAATAATTTACTATGTCTAAGCAGAGATTAATGTTGGATACATACAAAATTTACTTAATATTTATATATCTGACCATACAATTAACTTCACTTTCTTACCTGTCTAAATATAAGTTTATTAAGTGGATAGCTAATCAGAATATTGCAAAACGCTGAACCTCCACCACAAGCAAACTCTTTCCAATGTGTGCTGGCTTTTTTCTCTGAAGCCGGCATTGTGATGCTGCCATCAACAACACAGCTTCTTTCTAAAAGCTGTGTTTCATTCATAGTCTTATATTGGATGGCTTAAGGCATTATTTTAACATTTCCATCCTGAAACAAACATTTTAGAATAAACAAACAAAAAAACTTAACAAAAGCATGATAGCTTTTGTATGCATTTTTTTGAGATTTTTAAGATATAAGCTACGTTTAAGCAAATATTGATCAAATTAAATGATGTGTTTTTATAAAATACACTTTTTTCAGCTTAATATATTTTTAGAAATAAGATTCCAACAAGATTTTTTATTCTGATATGCAGTCAAAATTAAATTATTTAAAAAACTTTGAACGTAGTATTTTTTTTCATTTATTTCATTCAAGTAAATTATGATGATGTAGAATATCAATGCTAAAAAAAGATTAAATGAATTAAGACATGATTATGAGCATATACACATAGCATGAAAAATTAAAAGCGCACGGAATTTTGCAGTCTTGGCTTCCACGTAAATATTTAATGGTAGTTACCTCCTCTTTAGCCTAGGTGTACGTAACACAAGGGCGTAAATTGGACATTTTCAATTAAAATATTTTTGTCTTGATTTCAACTCTTCCATGAATAAATAGTCAAATTATAAATAAAGTAACTTATTTACAACATAGTTTAAATCAAGTATTATAGTTTAACTGAATATAAAAAAGTAGTTAAGAACTTTTCATTTCCCATTTCATTTGCAAAAAAATGTGTGACAGAAAGTTTTCTTGACATGACAATGACAAGTTGTGGTTCTTTCATTCTTAAGTAAGACAAAGATCATTGTCGTAGGGCTAATTATTTCATTTGATTTTTAAAATTTTTTGACATATTAATACTATAATAAAATTACTGTAGCCAAAATAATTATTATTAAAGATCGGTAACTTTTATTTATACGTTATTAATATTAATACTTTTTGGTTTGAAATTAATAATGATAATAAACTAAAAATATTTTTAGAAAAAAGAAATAGGACGAAGATGTTTGTTCTGTCCGTGTAATGAAACGATGGACGCTTTAAACCCATTAAAATATCACTGTCAAATGTCAAACATAGTGATAAATTGTTTTGTCACAAAGTGTCAAATTGTATATCTTAACTTTATTATGAAAATAAATAATGTATTAAAGTCAGCGTAATCCGATAAGTTTGATAATCATTAACCTTATTGTACTATGGCAGCGTTACTTAAGAAGAGGGCTTTAGCTGAATACAATAAATCGTTCCAGGTGAGCAGTTTATATAGGTTATGTTTTTATGAAATGTTGTTCTGAAAGACATTTGAAATATTTCAAATTCTACTTATTTTCTAAAAGTTATTATATTTTCTTCATTTAGGATGGTCCATCTTCAAAAAAGCTTCATCTAGCTAAGAAACCTTTAATTGGCAGTTCTGCAGCTGCCTTTGTAGGACTTTTGGAAAAATGCAAATCAAGTGAAGAGGCTCTTCAATTGCTTCTAAGGATATCAGATTGCTTACAATTTCAAGAGTCCGATGTTGAGGAAGCAATCAAAAAGCTTTCAGAACATTTCCAATCTGAAGGGGAATCAGTTGTTAGAGTAAAAATATTATGGCTATTCTGTGATATAGGCCTGGAATGTCCAGGTGCTAACTTAAACAATTTAATAGATGAAACAATACATTTAATTAAAAATGAAACATCACACAAAGTAAGTATGAATACAAATTATAATCTTCGCAACCCATTGTTATATCTAACCATACTTTTGATAGTTCTAAACTTCTAAATTACTTTGTGACTTCTATTCTGTAATTTATTGTCTGGATTTATTGTAAGAGTTTTCTCCTATATACCTAATCAAAATATTGTTCATAGGTTATAGCCCAAGGCATTGCAACATTATTAAAATTGGGCACAAAACTGAATGATGACAAGATTTTGATGATGCGTCTGGTGAATGTTGCAAAAGACAATCTAAAAGACACAAGTCACTCAGTGAAGTGTAGATGTCTCCAACTGATCAGTGAATTGTATCCTATCTATCCCGAGTCAGATAGGACTCAAGATATGAGAACAGAAGCAGATGTTATTGTTAAATTGTTGGGTGATTATTCTAATGCTGAGGTAAATTAAATTAAATCTTACTTACTAATATTATAAATGCAAATGTTGGATGGATGGATGTTTGTTTAAAGGTATTGTCAGAATGGCTGAACAGGTCTTCAGGTGGGGGTTATCTGTTGGGATCAGATAATCACTATTGCTTGTAGAGTTTTAGGAAATTTAGAAATCAACAATATAATGTTATATTTTACAGGGTTTTTCTATCATTTTACAATATAGTTCAAATTGCAATATTTATATTTCTAGTTACCAATAGATGGGATTCATGATTTGCCATTGTTATGTATATGTAAATTATTTTGTTTGTTGTCTATAATATTTGTAATTTTGTTTAGGATGCAAGAGTGAGATGTGAAGCCTTCCAATCTCTATTAACATTACATGAGCGAGGGCAGACTTTAAATGTCTCTTTGTATGAACATGTGTGTGAATCACTGTCTGATGACTATGAAATTGTCAGAGAAGTGGCTCTTAAGCTCCTTTGGCTTCTGGGAAATAAGTATCCAGAGAAGTAAGTAATTAAATGAGTTTAATACAATTTCCATATCACATTATCAAGATGAAGTTACAACAACTGTTATAGATTTCTTTAAAAAAAAACTTATCCAATCTATTCAAAGAATACATATTGTTTTTTAGACTTCAATGGATGACATCTAAGAATTCTACTTTTAAGGGTGTAATATTGTAGTAGAGAAAACTCAATTCATTTCCATTGGGATTGAAGTCACTAAAAGTGTCTGAAATGGGCTCTGGGACCTCTGACAGAAGGAATTGTTTATTAATACCATCCCAAAACGTACATACTTCTAATAAAGTATGATAAAAACAGGGCAGAGGTAAAACAATGTGAAGTATTTGATATCGATAGGTATTTGATTTTTTTTTTCAGTATAATAACTCTACCAGACGGCGAGACTACAATGCGTCTGGTGGATGATGCATTCGTCCGCATCTGTTCTGCAGTGAACGACCTGTGTATGCAGGTGCGTGCGCTGGCCTGCTCGCTGCTCGGCACCACGCGCAACGTCTCTGATCGCTTCCTGCTGCAGACGCTCGATAAACAGCTCATGAGTAATATGAAGGTTAGTGAGGTGGAGCTTCAACATATTGTTTACATGTCCCATTATAATTTTTCTATCTTTTCAAAATATTGGCGGTCCAAGGTCAGTGTAGTGCTGTGCAGTGACCTCCCCCCGTCATAACGCTACGCTCTGCTTACACCTAAAATTGTGTTATACACAGCTACAGATGGAAAGTTTAGAGTCGCCAAGATATCTGAAAACATTTATATAAATACATAAGTTTGGATAAATTACATACTCCACTCTTATCTTATTAGGTTTCCCATTGTACTATTTTCAATGGAAAATTTGCAAAGAATTTGTGATGTGTTCATGTATTTAGTGGAACAGAATGTGTTAATATTGTGTGTACAGAAGAAGCGCACGGCGCACGAGCGCGGGGCGGAGCTGGTGCGGTCGGGGGCGTGGGCGAGCGGGCGGCGCTGGGCGGACGACGCGCCCGGACAGCTCGTGCCGCAGGACAGCGTGCAACTGCTGCCTGGCGGCGCGGCCGGCGCGTTCGTGCACGGACTGGAGGATGAATTCATGGGTATCTTATAGCCATTCTTTTTTAAATGAATTGTACAGTTTAGTAACTATTTAAATATGTAAAGTTTTTCTAACCAATATTACTAATGGCCATATTGGAGTTAGATGTTGTCCTAAGGATATGTAAGTTGGTAGGGTATGTTTAAAAAAGAAATAATAGTATCCATAACTGATAAAATCGATATTTTATCATCACATATAATAATGTTTTCTTTGTGTAGAGGTGCGCACGGCGGCGGTGGAGGCGGTGTGCCAGTTGTCACAGGAGAGCGCGTTATTCGCGACCACCTCGCTAGATTTCCTCGTAGACATGTTCAATGACGAGATCGAGGACGTGCGCGTGCGCGCCATCAACAGCCTCACCAACATGGCGCATCACATCATACTGAGAGAGGATCAACTTGAAATTATATTGGGTGCTCTGGAGGTACGTTGGACTGGTTAAAGACCTCGGTTGATATTGAAAATTGTCATATAACTTTCAAACTAAATACTATTGGTTTAAATTTACAGGATTTTTCAATGGATGTCAGAGAAGGGCTGCACAGAATGCTCGGATCGTGCACCGTCGCGTCGAAAACCTGTCTTGAAATGTGTATTGACAAAATATTGGAAAATCTGAAAAGATATCCACAGGTGAACTAAAATTTAACACAATTAATAAAATGAACCTGACATGAAAACGCGGAACTTCGAGTTTGCGTAAATAAAGGTTCGTATAATTCGCAAGTGTCAATGTATCCCGTGTTGCAACACGCAGGACAAGCGTTCAACATTCCGATGCGTGCAGCGCATGGGCAGTGCGCACGCGGCGCTCGTGCTGCCGCTGGCGACACGCCTGCTCGCTGTACATCCATTCTTCGACATGCCAGAGCCGGATGTCGAGGATCCAGCCTGTATCCTTTTACTATAACAACACAGTTAATTAAAAAATTACCGACTTCATCGGTAGACTCAGAGAAAGTCCCTTAAAAACTGTATTTTTTTTTCATATAGCTACACTTTTGGTTTTAAAATCACGATTTAGTTCTTACATACAATTTAGTAGTTGTATTTAATGAATCTCTTAATGCTTTTATCATATTTAGATGTTTATTGACAGTAGTCAGCAGTCAGTTGTGTACGAAAACGTATAATTTCTTAACAGTAAAAACCAGACATGTGCATACTGATCTTAGTGCTGAACGCTGCTCAACACTGTACCACTATGCTGCCGCTGTTCGAGGAGCACACCATCAAGCACTACACATACCTCAGGGACACCATGCCGCATCTCGTGCCGCATCTACCCATTGGTCAGTTCATCATAGATCGTAACCTTTTCAAGGAATGATTCGTTTATTCTTCATGAATGAATTTTTAAAATGAACTCTTGAAACTGGATCGGTGAGAATCCAAGCGGCTAAGGCGCATTTTCTCGCTTTTCGATTTGTCTTTCGTGTTTAAGTTTCTCGCTCATGAAGGTAGTCCATCGGGCTCTAATAAATGTTTCTCGTTTGTGGAGGATGTCCGTCAGGACCTGACACTGACTGCCATGTATCCAGGTTTCAACGTATTCTTATTTGTGATATGATATAGGTGAATCTCAATTGTCGCGCACGGAACGCAGTGAGCTACTGGATGACAGTGCGGTGCGGCGTTTCTTTGACACCGTCCTGCAGCACATCGACAACACCGCGCTCTCCGCCAACGTGCGCCTCAACATGCTGCGCTCCGCAGAAGAACAGCTCAACAAGTAAACTTATATTATCTATGACTTTTACACAATTTTCAAAGTGACAGTGACAGTCCTGTTTTGACAGATGACTGTTTCAAGTATTTATGTGAATCAATTAAAAACAAAACTTCTTTCTAATGTTTTTGGTTTACAAGACTTTTTAAAATATGTAATAGCAGAATAATGTTGACGTTAAATGTATCTGGTAAAACTTTCTTAATTTCCTTTAATATAGTGTGTGTTGTGTATCAGGCTGTCGGAGATGGAGCCGATGTGCGCGGGCGCGGCCATCTTCACAGCGTTGTTTGCGCGCTGCGTGCTGGCGCTTCACGACGCGCTGCTGGCGGCCGGCGGACCGCCGCCGCACGCCCTCGCACAACTCACCACTGACTGTCTCAGGTCTGATAGTACTACCGACGTATATATTTGCCAAAGTAATAGTTTTATATTCACATTTGTAATAGTTATTAAACAACTCTGTAGCTCAACTTAAATAGAATGAAGTAAGCAATTAAATTCCTGGACCTTCGGTAAAATGTTGCGAGGTGTAATAGTTCGTCTTATCCTCTTTCGTTAAATATATCGCTTTCAAATTCTTTTACGTGCGTAGTATTTTTACTATGTATTTTGTTTAGGCTGCAGCATCAGTTCAGCGGTGTGTCGGAGCAGGAGAGCGCGTGCGTGGGTCAGGTGGCGCTGCGTGTGGCGGCGGCGCGGCTCTGTGCGCCGGAGGCTGCGGCCGGAGTGCCGAGCTGCTCAACCACCGCCACCGGCACCGCGCCCTCCGCAACCCTCGCCGCCATGTCCGCCGCCGCCGCGCTCACACACCAGGCGGAGCTCCTTGACAGGCTGCTCGCCTCCGCAGGTATACTACCACAACGATCTTATGACACTTTTTTGACATTGACAGGACGTCTACAAGTTTTTTGGGGTTACCATTGACCAAAAATTTACTAATTTCTTACGAAAGTCGTCCATGTTGCAACTTCAAGAACTTGATTTGCAAATTTTGAGTTCTCTTAGTATTTCTTTACTATCTAAATTGTTACATACAAACTCATTTAATTTGTCTGGATGAAACAATTATATTTAATTCAATCACTCGACATCACAATGTGTGGAATTTATATAAGGAGTAATACTATGTATTTAAACTACAAACAATAATTGTTACGACGATTATTATATGGTGCGTGTATATGTACTGTAGGTGTGGAGCCGGACGCGTTCACAATCGCGGTGTTCCAGCAGCTGTCAGCCAGTGGCGAGCACAAGCCCGCCGCGCTCGCCCGCGCGCTGCTGCCGCGTCTGCACGCTGCGCCCCTGCCCATCATACCCAAACCTAACCTCAAGGTTACCAATTACTTTGCTTGCTATTGGAAATTACATTTAAAACTTTTATTATACTGGCCGATATTCAATCATTCTTTAAAGATTGATAAATCGTTAAGTTAATGAAAAAAGGAAGCGGCTAGGATTGTGATTAGACATGAATGCAGCACAATCCTTCATCATAATACGATCTATTTCCAGCTGATATGCTACAAGGTAGTTGTTGTATTCTTAGATTCGTATGTGCACTGCGAGTATAGTGGAGCCGGCGAGCGACAATGACACGGTGGTGCGGTTCAGTGCGGGCCTGATCGCGGGCGTCGCGCTCGAGGCGGAAGTGGTGCGCGTGCGCGACCCCTCCGCGCTGCGCGTGCGTGTCGCGTACCCCGACCGTCGCGTGCACGCGCTCGTCCCGCCCACAGACCATCTGCGCACTCTCGACCATCTAGATAACAGTCAGTGTACAACACAACATAGACAAACGTTAACCATAGACAATGTCAATCGTAACACCCACTTATGCAATAAACAATTGCTATTGCATTACATTTTTTTTCTTGCCGCTGGTTTGTTGGGAATGGCTGTAAACAAAACAATACCATAGAATAACTAAGAATAGATAAGAAATAAATTGAAAATAACAAACATATATGATTTCTTGCTTTCTGATAATGGACCCTAACCCTTTCAGATGACGACGGCACACAGAACGTTCGTTTGTTGACGAAAGTATTGATATCTCATGGTGTGTGGACGGAGCCGTGCGGAGTCGACATCTCCATATGTCTAGCAGTGGAGGAGGCGAGCAGCAGGGAGCCTGCCGCGCTCGTCGAGCTCTGCCGGCCAGTGCGAGTCACTGTCGCTCCCAAACCCATCAAGAGGGGCATATAATATACATAAGACGATTGGAACAGAAGTCACTCACAATTCCAAAAACAGGCTAACAAAAGAAAGCTCAACGATTTCTTATAAGATATGTTATGTCCAAAACTAAATGTCGGCAAAACGTCCTGTTCCAGCAAATAAAATAGATTGTAAGGCGATTCATATCTTTAATGTTAAGTTAAAAGGACCTTTTTAAAATTTAATTCCAACATTAATCAGTATTGAAAATATTCTTTGAAAAAAATTGTCTGGTTTAATATTTCATACATTTTTTAAGTAATAATATTGGCAAAAAAAAAAAATATGTTATTGAGTTGTACATAAATATTAGGTATACTAATAAATTACGATGGAAATATACAAGACTTTTATGAATTACTTCTGTCAATCAGTCTTTCTAATACTGTTGCCACATAAAATCACGTATGTAGTGAAAGCAATAATTTTTTTAATTTCATAAATATCTAGTGGTCAAATTACTTTTATCATAAGTTCCCATAAACAAAAAAAACTTTTTCCTACATATATTTATTCACAGCAATTCATGTAATTATTTTATGTACATGTCCTTTCATAGCATTATATAAAATTAATTGATAGGTAAAGGTACAATTTTTTTTTAATATGAATTATGTAATGTACATGTAAACAAAAAAAGTAGTGTTAAAATATAGTTCATATTTATGGCTAATTATTTCATAAATAAACATTTATAATTTGATATTGCAGTTTTGTTTAAATAAATATTATTATAATAAAAGTTATGTGAGTATAAAATTGATTATTATGTCATACATTCAATGCAAGTATTATTCTCTACCTAATGTTAACTTACAGGGCAAGTTGGAACCAAAACGGATTAATTATTCTGTATCACATTTTTCGCTTTCTTGTTTGTCAATATCCAGCAGTTCTATGCGTGCAATGCAATGATAAATGAGTTGTTTGACACCAGACATCCATATGGAAACTGAACTCACATGATCCACCATCAGGGATTTGTGGATTTCATCTGCCCTAGCCGGTTGATCATCACGGAGAGCTGAAAAATATTTTGCATTTTTTATGTTTAAAAACACCATTCATTTGATTACATTCAACATCATAAAATACTGAAAACTTTGTTTGAATAATGTTTTATGTTTATTAACAATACATCAGAAACATAATATAAAAAATAAAGAATGCAGTGAGTATGCAATGTAACTTACCATATGCCAGTTCTTTCATTTGAAGTTGAATACTTCTATTCAGTTTTCCATTTAACCACATATTCTCCATTACATTTATTCTTTTTTTCACTTCATTTCCTTTGGATCCCAGATCTCCACTATCAATAAATCTCAATAAAATGTCTTTTACTTCCTTGAGTGTACTTGCACTGTCAATTTCAATAAGTTCACTTTCATTTCTACTAATAATTTGTGTGCTCAGTGTTGGAACTGCCGGGACCATTGGCACTGGCATAGGAGGCAAATTTGCCGGAGGACTAGACACTGGTGTCGATCCTGTACCTGATAGTGGAAAGGCGACACGTTTATTTAGAAAATTTCGTGGCCTATTAGGTGTCGTTTGTTGTGCACTATACGAAAACTGAGGTGGATCGTTCCAGCCAGGATCAAATGGCACTAGAAAAGAATATGCAATTGTTAAACTTAATTCTACTGATATTAGGAATGATTAAATAAGCTATACACTACTCACCTTTAGTGCCGTGGACAGGCGTATTATCACATTTATCCATTTTATTCTAAACTCCTTTGGTAATAGCAAACAAGTTATGGCTTATGCTAAGATTCTTTGCTTATATTTTTTATCTAATATCTATTACCTATAATAAATACCTATATAATTTTATAAACACAGCTGTTTTCGTGGTTTCTGCTGTTTTGACACTTTCTTGCCAAAGAGATCTTTCACTATACAAGAGAAGACGAGCAGACCATAGAGTTTTGTCACTGACGTCTTTTCACGTTTGGATTTTCGATTCGTTAAAATCGTATCTTTACTCTGTGGTTTTACTTCAAAACTTTCCTGTTTTCTGTCACCGTCAGTCATGTCAGATGCCATGTAATTGTCATATGTCGCATTGGAATTGAAAGTACATGTACGGTGTTTCTCGCTTATCGTTATTTTGCGAATCTAAAAGCAATGGAATTTTATAAAACTTTTAATATAATTTTTAAATCAAAAATGCAGCTAATCTTTCTACTCGTTTCCGTATATTTGATGCAAATATCAAGTGGTTAGTATATGTAATAATTTCATGTGCAATTCCAATGTTTATCCGTAACACCTTAACACTTACGTGGCCTTATGATATGGGAGGATATTTATTATTAAAAAAGTTTTTTTGACTGAAATGTATTTGTGTACTAATTTAATTAATTTTTTTTCATCTTTTTTAGCCTCTAAAGCCGAGTTTGTTACGTGTGGCACCATTTTAAAATTAGTAAACACGGACTTGAAGTTGCGGCTTCATTCTCACGACGTCAAATACGGTTCAGGATCAGGGCAGCAGTCGGTGACTGCAGTCGATGTGTCGGATGACAATAATAGCCACTGGCTAGTTAAGCCTACCATGGGGGAGACTTGTAAACGAGGGTAAGTGCACAAGAGTTAAAAATTTTGTTATTTGGTGACCTGTTGCCAAAGAAGATTAATCGTGATCATCATGTACCAACAGGCAGCTATCCTCTTAATTACAACTATGTTTTAGTATAAAATCAATTAATTAGTAATTCTTTACAGAGCTCCAATAAAGTGCAATACAAACATTCGTCTCCAGCACATTTCTACTAAGAAAAATCTACATTCTCACTACTTCTCTTCACCACTGTCTGGTAATCAAGAAGTGTCATGCTACGGTGATGATGATGGTGAAGGAGACTCTGGAGACAATTGGACTGTTGTGTGCAACAATGACTACTGGAGGAGAGACACACCTGTTAAACTAAAACATGTTGATACAGCAGCGTAAGTTAACAATTTTTTTTCCTTAGGGATATTTTACATTTTTAGTTTTTCATTTATTTTACTATAATAGTTTTCACTTCATATTATTCATAAAAATCGGCAATGAAAGTTACCTAATTACTGCCTATCTACATAACTGCTTTTGTACAGTGCTGCCCATTTTTCCTAAACAAAATGACTTGTAGTATTTTGTTTGAAAAAGTATTAGGACTTCAATTTGCTCTCAACTTCATCAAAATTCGTTAAAATAACCTCCTTCTTTTTGAAGTTGGCTAAATCATATTGAAGAATTTATTACCATACCTAAATTTTGTTTCTGGTAACTGGCCGACCGGCCAATGGTTTATTGGTGACCCGCTCTTTTAGATATCATTATAATGTTTATTATAATTTTTCAGATATCTAGCTGGATCTGGGCGAACATTCGGTCGACCAATAAGTGGTCAGGGAGAAATCGTTGGTGTCAGTTCACAATATGGCACCTACACAGACTGGCAGGCTAAAGAGGGACTATTTATTCACCCTGGTGATTTATTACCTCACCAGAATGCTGTACATACAGAGTTATAAACTTGTTTTAGTGTATTTTTATTTAAGTTTGACACTAACGTGTAATTGCAGTTTTGACAGTGCATAGACAATTTGTGGTTTTATTTATGTTATCTCTACCCATGGAGATAGTTCCTAATTGTGATTAGCCTTTGTTTTGTACTTTCCATTTGCTTAACGCTTACAGCAAAATTTTCAAAATCACAATACAATGACAAATGTGCACAAACTTAAACATATCCTATAGGATTCTCAGCGAGGAAGTTGTAAGATAAGAAAGTTTTGTTTTTATATTATACCAACTATTGAAAATTTATATTTAAATAAAGTATCTTGTTTTGAATTTCAAGTATTAAAGACATAAATAAACAATTACAATTTTTTTCAGAAGAAACTCATCTAATTATTTTAGAACTTAAAAATTCCTAACCAAAGAATTTTAAGATAAAGATATTTGTAAAATGAAAGAAATTTGTTTTATTGTACTAAATCTTTATTGTTAAATGTTCATCAAAGTAGTCCCTATGAAGGGGACCTGTAACAAAATTTTGAAAGTTGACAATTTTCAGTGCTTCAAAGTTAGCATAGAGTTTGTTTTAATACTGATTTTGAACAGTGGACTATTTATATTATTATTAATACTACAACTTTATTGAGAAATCTTACATAATGGTGAATTAGTTAAGAGATTGAAATTCTACAAATTGTTATTGTCTCTATGTTTTAAAGCACGGAAAACTAATAAAAGATTTAAATTTTAAAATCAAATTACAAAACTAAATAATTCTAAATGATTACAATACAACTATGTTATCATACAACCAGATTCGGTCTTGGCTTTAGTGAAATCTCCTTCCAGGTCAGGTAATAAATCAATAAAACTTAAAACAATTCCAGAATGAAAGGCACTGTTCTTATAATATTATAACATTTGGGAGGCAAGAATAATTTTAATTTAATATTTCAACTTTAATAAATAATATTTTCTTAAAAAAGGTCAATTTAAAATCTTGGTATGTGTTTAAAATGACAGTTGAGTAAACAAAAGTATTGATATTCAAAAGGAAACTAAAATTCACAAATGACACACAAAAACAAAAAAGAAAAACTACATATTTGTTTTACATTAAATATATTCTACAAAATTAAATGCCAAAAATTATTATAATAATAAATAATTGTTTGTTGTTCGTTTTTATTTCAAAGTTTTGACATAAATGTTTACATTAATGTTTTTCCCCTACAACATTTCCATACCACACTCTATTGAGACACTCATGGCTTTTCCATAAAAATATATAACTTTATAAACTGCTTTTTATATTTTATGTAACTTTTCGTATTATGCTTTGGACTTTTGACTTTAGACTTTTATTTTTAGAATACAATTAGGTAAATTATGTTAAGTTTTAGGCTTGTCAAATATGTAATATTTTTCTGAAATTCATTATAATATTGTAACCAATTAACAGTTGTCCATGTTATAATACATGGACGACTGACTATGGCCTAATCACCCTTAACTTAGGGTAGGCTCCGAGCCCCTCGGTGGGGACGTATAGTGAGCTGATGATGATGTTATAATTACAACAAAAAATGTCAACTGATTTTCCTTTGAACTTGTTCGTTCGAAACAAATATTTGACAATTTGTATACACTCGAACAGATTATAAATACGTATTTATAAATAACGAATATTGGTTTAATTTTTAAAAAATGCAGATCCAGTAGAAACTCCTATATTATTTTAAAATATTCCTTTGGTGTATATTTATAAACAATTAATCATCTTTTTTTGTGATTATTTTAGAAAGAAGAAAATACGGCTACAAAAGTTAAAGATAAAAGATACATGAGCTGTAAAAGAAAAGATACATAAACTGTATATTTTAGATTAACTAGATATTTTACAATAAATATTACGCGTTTTATTAATTTGAAAGTTGTAATATTTTGCCAAAACTTGTTCCTTAATATTGTGCTTAAACAGGCTGAAATTAACTTTAATTAATTTTAATTACACAAGTTTTATAATTTTAATAAACACTTAAAATTATTTCGTTTACATGCAAATGTAGATATTTTGTACATACGAAATTTTACTATACAGCACAGCTGTTATTTAACAATCTGAGCCACATTATTATATTCTGGTAGCAGATATGAAAAATAACGAATTTCGTATATATTTATAAATTTACCTGTACCATCGTTATTGAACATCAAACACACTCATATATCAATTTAAGAAACACACATATCCCGCAAATTGTCATTTTTATTGTGAAATTCAAATGCTTAAACACTTTTTTATAATCGAAATTGGATAAATGAGAGTCCAAGGGATCGCCATCTGTTTCTCGCTAATAGAGGTTTCTCTCTAACCCGAGTATCTCGCTTATGGAGTCCTTCCGTCGGGACCGGACAATAACTCTCACATATAGATGTTTCTCACTTATCCAGATTCGACTGTGGGTAGGTTTTTATACAAGTGTTTCAACAATGGAAATCCATAGTAAGTGCAGGCAATTTAAAGGAAAATGTCGCTGATTTGTTTTCAGCTTTACGATTGCCTGGTCACTCTTCAAAACTATGAGAGTCCCTAGTGACAAAATGTGTCCATTGGCCGGCAGCCGACTAAACTAAGACAGAGTAACATTAAATTTGTACATTTAGACATTTCATTTTCAGCAAATTGTCATAAAAAGGCACTAATACTAGGGACCTTATACCAAACCGGTGAAGTTACGAGTAACAAGATCCTGATTAATATAAGAATCATTAAAGTCTAAGCAATCGCTACCAGAGTTTCGTGGAAAGTACGCTGTTGATTTTCTCTAAAGCGTATGTGAGGTTCATATACAGTTTCTTGTCGCAGCCGTGCTCCTCTATGGTGCTGAATCTGAACGTGCGGAAGTTCTTCTCCACGTCAATGTACGTGACTGCCTGCATGAGCGGGCACAATATTATCTTTGTGTGATCTTGGAAGTTGATCTGAAAAACAAAAATTGTATGAAATACTAAGGAAGCATAGATTGATGTAACGGTGTAAAGCAGTACTAACTAATTTTAACGTCGTACTCTTCAAAAGTAGATTATAGACCAAATTAAGTTTCAATCTTTTTGGCAACACAAGGTCAGCTGCCCCACTATATCTAATATTTTGTTCTGCGCAGCAATTCGTACTAAGTTCAGAGACGCCAAGATGATAGAGATCTTTTAATACCTGCAGCGTTCCATTGGTGAGGTACATGATGACGGCGAGCGTGGTGCGGTACCATTGGTGCAGGTGCGGCAGTCGCGACAGACCGTCGCTCTCGCGCACTTGTACTGACGCTCCTATAAAGAACGATTAAGTGGTTTTTAACTTTGTACAACAAAAAAAATCACACTATGATATTAGTAAAAAAAACAAAATAGTAACAACTAAAAATATTAAAAGTAGGAGTACTCACCGGCTTTCATAAGGTGCTCAGTCATGTATCTACGGAAATATGAAAGGAGTTTCATTTTCTTGTCCAGCTCCGGTGGGTAGTCAGTCATTGTCATATATTTTTCAGAGCTATGCCGATCAATGTAGTGAACATTCCTGTAACAAAAATTATAGTTATGAATCAACTTTATTGAAATAAATAAACATAAAAATAAAGCAGAACAATAAAATTATCACTATCAAACAAAATGATTAATCATGTAAAGTGTATTTTTACACTAACTAGAGATATACTTCAACTTCTAATACTCTACTATATGTCAGTAGTTTCGAGAGAGAATTTATTTACGGATATTCTTACAAACAGGGCTCTCAGTGATAAATATATAGAAGAACATTGGTATATCACTTTTTTAGAGTGAATGAAATTGGCATGTTTTAGTCAATTGAAATGGTTACATTAGTTTAATACTGACACTCCGTTGGCGAGCATGATGAGTTTGGTGGTATCGTTGAACATGACACCGACGCTCTCGTCGCACAGCTGGTAGCCGAAGCCGTACTTGTCGCTGTAGTCCACCCACTTGCCCACCCACACCAGCGGCTGAGCTGCAGGGTCGCTCAGACCCTCCGTCAGGCACTCCGGTCGGCATTTCAGCTGCAATCATATTTTTGTTTTAAATAATAAATGTACAAGTCACATATTTCTTGAGTGGGAAGTTACAGATATATAACGAGATCAACTTCGCGCATTGAAAAGGTGTGACTCACGTTGGACTGCAGCAGCGCGGCGAGCTGGTCGCGCAGGGAGACAAGATTCTGCCGGTGCGAGCTGGACTCGTTTGCGCGCGGCTCCGCCTTCACCTGCGCCGGTATGCTCGCCGCCATGCCAACATTGTCTACAAGCAATCATTCGTATTACATGTATGCCTATTAATTCTAATTAAAGTCTAATTTGATTTTATTTTAAATCTGTTATTTATAAAATTAATAAAGATAGTGGAAGAAGAATTTATAAACAGTTATTATGTTAGTCAGATGATATGTGACTTACTAATATTGTTGACTTCGTTAAGCGGGCGTCGCTGCGTCATGCCCTCGAGCTGGTCGGTACGGGGCGCGGTGGTGAGGCAGGAGAGCGGCAGCGCGGCTGGCAGGATACCCGACGAGAAGAACTCATGCCGCAGCAGCTTGTCCACCGAAGGCCGCAGCGCCGGGTTGGCCTGGAGCTGCAGCACGATCATTGACGTCGCCGGCTTCCTCAGCGTTGTTGGTACCCTGGTTATACAACGTTCAATAACAATAATGTTCTAACAAAGTTTTATAATCGTACTCGAATAGCTGGTGGCCGGGGATTTTTAAAATATACGAAACATCAATAATTTAAATATATATGAACTATTGAACAAGTTTCTCACATACACATAACAAATGATTTTGTTTTCCCTCTTTTTAACATGAGATATATAAAAATGATGAAAAAAAGGTGGTTTAACTGATACACCTTGTACTTATTATCAACAATTTTTTTTAAGGTTTTTAAATGTTGCTGGCTTAACTGGAAAATACTTTTTGTGAAATATAAGCTAATTATCGTCAAACATACATTATTTTTAAATGTCTTTGCGTTGTAAAATTTCCGTTATATTTTTAAGATATTTATCTAGTTATGTTAATTTATTTTAGGTTTAACGACATCAGATACCGGAAGTTACTTGCGCACTTTTTACGGTTATTAATCTCAATATATTTAGTTTCTAAGAGTCGTGAAGTAAATAAATTTATATACCTATTAATGTGTAACCCCAGAATCATTTCGAATATTTAGACAATAAAGTAATTAAAAAAAGACAAAATTTAAAAAAAAATATTAGTTTTTCCTCATATGCTTGGTACCTCCCAACTTTAACAAGTTTGTTATTTACCTAATTTAAAACATCAAAACTAAAAACAAGCACATAAAATGAAAAAAAAAAAAAACATTTAACAAAAAAATTCACATATGTTAAAAACACAATGAATATGGCCTTCTTCAATGATCGACTGAGAAACGGATAATTATTGTCAAACATGTAAAATATATAATTTAAAATGATAAAAAATGTTTGTACGATGGTATGTTTATAACAGTTTCAAGCGCATTTGAACAGAAGCTCACATTGAGTTCCATCACCATATTACCACAACTGTTGGATATAACCACCTGTAACGCATCTTGAGTGTATTGTCGTTGACTACGGCCTGAGCGAACCGAGTACCAAATGTATGCCAGGGGCCCGCACAACAAGTATGCAGAGCTAGATATATCCCCTCACTAGTTGTTAACAAAAAGGCGCGTTAATATTTCCAGTTTAATGACCTGAATAGTGTGTAAGCCTACATGCCTATACAAAATGTTTGTTTTATAAAAGTGTAAAATTGAATTGAAACTATAATCTTTAAATATTTTGTTTTTCATTTAAAAGCAATAATATTTTAATAACAAGTAGTACAAGACTAAATTTCAATATTAAATGGACTGAAATTTTAGTACAGAAAAATAAGAGTTTACACAGGCATATCATGGTAAATATTTGGGTTCTTAAAGTTCAAATATGTTCTGTTTTATATTTTATTGAATTTTTAGTTAAAATATATTACCTGTATTCACATTGCTTGATTCTTTTGTATGTATCTCTAAGAGTTGATGTCTCAAAGGGTGGCTTCCCTACAAGCAGGGTGTACATGATGCAGCCCAAACTCCAAATGTCCACTTCGAAGGAGTGCCCCTTCTTTGTCAATATCTCAGGAGCTATGTAGTTTGGTGTGCCGCATAAAGTCTGTTTCCTCTCTCCTATACATTTAAACTGTTTTTATTCTATTTGACAATCAACTTAATTGGAATTTTTATTAAGTTTTAATTGCAAAAAACAATATTTTCTCATACTAAAATTAACTAGAAAAGTTAGTATCTGAAAATTTATATATAACAATAGTGCAGAGGACAGGAAAGGGTTCGCTGAGCTGATGGCCAACCTCCAGTAATGGAGAGGCATTGGAAGAAGAAGAATAGTGCAGAAATATATTGGGAGCATAAGTATATTAATATTATCTCATACAATAAAATAACAACTGCAGTTTACTAAAATTAAATAAATATGACCTTACCTTCATATTCAATTTTAGCTGCTAGTCCAAAATCTCCAATTTTAACACACAGGTCATCATCAAGGAAAAGATTTCCTAACTTAAGATCTCTGTGTATAATCCTCCGGCTGTGTAGATACTGCACACCGAGTAATATCTGACGCATGTAGAACCTTGTTTCTGGCTCTGTGATGGCTTTTCTACGCTTATGTAATTCCATCATGGACTGTAATAAATATGAATATTTTAACATTATTATATTAATATTTTAAGGCCAATGTAGATGATTCTATATTCTTGTTGTATTATAGCAATCATTTGCTATTACTTTATAATTTTCTAAACAGTTTTAAATACAAACCCTTCTCTTGCAGAGCTCTAGTACAATGTAAATGTTGAGTGAGTCCTCGAAGAAGCTGTGGAAGCCCACCACATGTTTGTGTTGCAGTGAGCGGTGGATAGAGATTTCCTGAGTCATTTTTTCCCTTTGGCTCGACTTTACCATAAGCTTTTTTGAAACAATTTTCCCTGCGTACACCTGGTTGGTGGCGATGTCTTGGATTTCGTAGCATTTTGCAAAGCCCCCCTAGAATTTATGATAGGTTAAATAAATAAGGCAGATTTAATTTAGGACTATTTAGTATTTAGTTTACTACTAATTATGCAGTATTTTTCTTTTCGTAACCATAGTGGGTACATACATTGCCAAATGATATATTTAAATTGTTCATAAATATAACGGATTTGTTCAGTTTAAATTTGGTATATGATCATTCGACAAGTTTTATACGTGAAGACATAAACAACAAGTTCGTCATTTTATCGCTGTTTATTGTAAAAGGAAACTCACCTTTCCGAAAAACCGCAATCTGTGATATGTGCTCTTTGTTTGAGGATCTTGAATTATTTCGGGTATTTCTTTCTTTTCATCTTCCTTGATAGACGTCATTATAAATTAACTTTAAATATAAGTTCAAGTCAATAAAATGATAAAAATGAAGCAAAAGTCTAAAAATTGGTCACAAATGAATACACAATGTTCTCAAACTAAGCGCTTGAACATGAAGAACAGTTGCTTTGCATGGCAGTTGCACTGAATTTTGAACTGTTAGATACGTTATGAAGTCGACCAATCAGAGCAATGTATTCATATTTATCATTGCCAGGAAACTAAAATTGATGTTAAATAAGACAGATGTCAGATAAAGTTTAAAAAAATAAATACATCTCCTTTGCTTCCACTTTTTCAGAGCATAATTTTTAGTTCCAAATAAATAATTTTAAGAATTGTTTTTGTATTATTTGGTAGAATAAACTTTTCATAACTGGCAATAGACAACTTTGTAAACAAAAATAGTCAAAGTCAAACTTACTTTTCTATTTTACTGAATTTTTTATTTATTTAGATATTTAAATACGGATTTCTTTTAATTTACCTTAATAAGAGTTTTAAAAACACAACTTTAAGTAATAACTTTGTTAACCTCTAATAATAATGTTTGAAAATATGTATCTGTGTTGTAATTTTTGTTTTCGTAGCTTGATAAAAGCAACTTTAATATGTTATTTCCTGGATAAATATAGTTAAAGCAATTATCCACACGTTTTCTTTGGTATAAATTCGCGGGTAATTTAATGGATGACTTTGTAAAAAATTATAAAAGTTGTATTAGTTAAATTGCTAACACGTTTTTTTTAGGAGTATTTCGCTAAGTAGTTTTTTTTAGTATTTTCTTTAATCGGCGTTCAGATTCCCCAATTGTCAATCCATTGAGTAAACAATGATAAGGATCAACAAAAAAAACAAACGAATTTGAAGTCGACTGAAAAGGATTTGGGTCGATTTCAAAAATTATAGGTAGATTGATGGATTAATTTTACTAAGGACCGATTTAAGAGAGCTACGCTACTCATCAAGCCTTTTAGCTTACACAATAAAAATTATCCCAAAGGTACCAAACAAATTATGTACATACCATAGAAGTTTAGGTCACTCTTGTATAAACTTGTGTGATTTATAAAGTGAAAGGACTTTACCAGTGAGTCAAATGAACTGTTTTTGTACGTCTGTTTGTTAAACTATTTATCTAACTTATTCAATGGTTACGGATATTGTTTGACATATACTCGATTATTCAGGCGAATGTGATTTAAAATGATGTCAACATAGTTCTTCGAATTATTTAATTTTGGGAATTCTATACAATCTACCTATTATAAAAATAATGAACCCGTCTTACTCCTATGATACAAATGACTAACTCTCTATACTGATATTGAAATCGTTCGAGCCGTTGAGGCTTCTGGATGTCAATGTAATGATGCAATGCATATCCAAACATAATCGAACATACGTGAGAAAAATATTACCTTGACGGTCTGCAAAAAGATGAAGATAATGGAAACACCAAAACAATATAATTTAAAAAAAAATATCTTGTATTTTAGTAATGCAGTAATATGTTGCTACAATTATTGTAAGTCTCTTAAATATTTAAGACGTATTTTTTTTTTTGCAAAGTTGTATAATGTTCATGTAAAGAGGCGAAGATTTCTGTACAAGGAAATCATAGCTCGATCATGTTTACAGTTCCTAAAGCTTGTGTCGTGACGCACTTGTGTCTTCGTACTGTACTGGCCATGAAAAACAACATTTCTTGACGTAGGTAATTAAAGGTGCGGTCGGGAATACACAAACGTGGAGTTTTCATAATGAATAATAGGATAAGAGAATTATATTGTTAATGATTCCTGTAGCATTCAAGTTTTAGTTATCCAAATTCTACCTAACCTTTTCTACTAAAGAAAATTGAGTGTAGTAATAGCAATAGACCTCAACCGGAGATGCGAGGATACTTGAGCTAGTCAAAATTGCATCTAAAACTAAAGTAAGATTTAAAAAGTAGTGATGAATAAAAGTTATTGAAATATCGTAAATAAAGAATTAACAAACATAATTATACGGGATGTGTTGTGGCCACTTAATATTAATAGTTAAGCAGCGTTGCGTTACTTTGACATCAATAGATTTAAGACGATAATGAATCGACTGATCTTTTCAGTTACTTAGTCATTAAATTAAAAAAAAACTCTTTTAATAACCAAGAACGTACGTATAAATACTAAAGACTCAGATTTTGACCGTGACTTAGATTCCGGTATTTGAAAAGTGGGACTCGGGTTGTATTGTTATTAAAAAATTATTTGACGTCCCTGACCTGTTTGTAAACACGACCGTGTTGTGTTCAGTAATTATTGATTAAAGTTTTTTTTCTAATTTAAGTATTTTATTTATTTAGCCAGTGTTGACGACTGACGATTATGATAATCGATTTTATTTATGTAATAAAATTAATTTAATCTAATGTTTATTTAAAATGACACAATACGCATAATTATTAAAATCAATAATACTTAACTAAATAATTTTAATATTTTTGAGGAAACTTAATAATTCAGTTTACAGCAGCAAGTTTTATTAAATTTTCCTATTATGGATGACAGAGTATCGGGTTTTCTTGCCTCGAAACCTACCAATGAGTCAATCTTATATGTTAATTCCTTGATCTGATTTATTTTGGGTTTCTAGTAACCAAATCCCCGTTTAAAATATATTATTATATAAATATAGACAGATACTGACATGAATGGCGATATGCTTTATGCAGATATTTTAGTCTCAGAAATTTAAGGAAGTTAGGACAGCAAAGAAAAAAAATAGTTTTTTGTATTAATTGAAAAGATGATTCGGACGTTTGATATGATCCAAACATGAATATTGAAATTGTAACTGAAGAAGATTGTTTATATATAATATATTTGACGTTCTTATGACTTTCACTAATCTTACTAATATAAATGCGAATGTTTGAATGAATGGATATTTTTTACAAGGTATCTCCAGAGTGCATGGATCTTCCTTCAATTTGGCATAGACTGGAAGAACATGGGCTACTATTTTTTTTTTAATTCCGCGCGGACGGTGTCGCGGGTGTCTGATAATAATATTAAGATCCCTCATATTCTCATTACCAATTTAGAGTAAGGTCCAAGTCGAAAAATAATTTATGCTAATATTTTACGAGTATATAATTTAATATAATTATTATAATAATTGTTAAATTATCTCTATTTGTACTTAGTGCATTTCCGGTGCATCTTTGCCGTCTGGGTGCAAATGGGTATAGTAAACAAACCGCAAATTAATCTGCGCGCCTTTGTCATTAACGGCTATATATTTATTTGCAATATTGCTAACTGCTACAGTTTAAGTTGTAGACAATATCGAAAAGGACGTATCGCGTTACGATTTATTTTATAAATTGTTTTAGTAAAAGATAAAACGCTTTATAAATTTTAAAAAATAAGACAAAAGTCTTTTTTTTACAAATAATTAATCAATATCTTAATTTCAAAATGAAGATTTTATTGACTTTTATGTTTTGGTTGTTCTTATTGTGTGCAAATGTGTCCGCTGAATGCCCCTGGGTAACGACTGATGAATGTAAGTGTTTTAAGCGTTTTAATTAAAATGTATACAAAAACATGTACTAGTCAATATTATAAGAATATTTAATTCTATTAGAATAATATAAAGTGATGTAAATTGTCATACAAATCATACGCATTATTATATTTAAGTATAGTAAAATTTTGGACTCTGAAAGCACTGAAGCGATATTTAGTACATAATAGATTATTGTTTATGTACATTACAATTCAACCGGGCGATAGCGGTCATGAACTTAGCAATGTACGGATTTTAATCAAATTAGTGTTAGTACAATTAGCATTAAACGCAATCTTTTTACTTTGGTTATCATTGGCGTCGTCGTCAGCTTATATGTCGAGGAATCTACTCAAGTTAGGGATGACTATGATGACATATTATGGCACAGTATGATGGCAAAAGCATAGTTGACTATGGAGTAAACCACTCTGGCTCTGTGCAGGTTATTTTACTTCACACATAAATTATGCGTCTATTAAAATAACTACTGTAGTTGTACAAGATAATTATTATTTAATTTTAATTCAATTCTGTACATAAAATGCATCTTACGTTGCTTTTGTGTTACGGATTTTTTGTACGAAATGTATGTACAAAACGTCACATATTAAACTTTCCATTGTACTTTTCCCCCTAATCTTATAATAATAATTTAAGAATTGTTATTTTTTTTTAATTATGAATGAGTTAATTAATTATGTATTCAAATAATTTGTTATTAGGTTTCCATCTACGTTTTTCACTTGTTTACCTTTTCTAAATGACGTAGTTAAACTAGATTATGATGGGTATTTCTGATCGCATTTATTTACATAATCATTATTGACAAATTATAAAACTGGTTTAATATTTATAGCAATCAATTTTAAATGAACAGTCTTATGGATTACCTTAGTGACATTTTAAAATGGACTAGGTAGAAATTTTTAGGACCAATATCCAGTGACGCAGCGGAGAAACAAAGATGTAAAACCCCACGTACTTTCAAATAGACGTATTTTAATAAAAAGTTCATTGCTTTCGGCATTAAAGATAACACTCACTTTATTGAAAAAGAATAATGCCATAGATTACGATGATATCATATCATAAAAAGGGTGATACTAGCGGCTGTCTTTGTTGTCTTCTAGTTTTGAACAGATCAAACCTAAAACCATAAGTACCAGAAAGTAACTATACTCGTGTTTAGGAGACATCAGACATCATTTAATTTGTACAATTCAAGGCTCTTTGAAATCATTAGCAAATAAAGCAGTTATTTAACATTGAAATAAAATAATTTTCAGACAATGTTACACGAACAATCGAAGAGTTATTGCCCAATATTAGTAAAAATATTGTAAAAGCATTGAAGTATTTAGATCTATTAATACACATTCAAGTTTTAACTGAACTGTCGAACTGTACAGTTAAAGCTTACGTGTGTAGGAAAAATTTTAACTGTCAGTTAAACTATACAGTTGTTAGTTTTGCCTATACTCGTCATTTTTAATGGTACAGTTCAACTGTTAGCGAAAGCACACTGAAAGTGTGTAGACGGCTTATAGGAAAGGATATATGTACACACATACTGAATAAGGGTACAGTCTGATGATGATGATGTGAACATTGATCTATTTT